TGGAGAGAGGGAGACGGAGAGGGAAGGGAGGAAGGAGGCGGGAGGGAGGCGGGGGCTCTGTGCAAGCCCCGGCCCTGCTGAGGGGTCGCCTCCCCTGAGGGGCCGCGCGGTCCCGGCCCCGCCGCCGCCTCCCCCGGGGCGTTTCAGGCGCCCCAAAAGTGCTCTGGGGACGCTTCGGGCCGTGTTTGTATGGCACTGATCCAGCCCTGGAGAGGCGGCGGGAGCCGCAGGGTCCCTGTGGGAATGGCTGAGCTCAGGGCGATGAGAGTTTATTTAAAATGCTGCAAATCGCCCTCGGAGCAGCGGAAGGAGCTGCCCAGAGCAGCTGTGGCTGCCCCTGGATCCCTGGCAGTGTCCCAGGCCAGGTTGGACAGTGGGACAGTGGGAGGTGTCCCTGCCATGGCTGGGGTGGCACTGGATGGGATTTAAGGTCCCTTCTAACCCAAACCAGTCTGGGATTCCGTGATTCCTCGCTGGCATTAATCGGGATGGCTCTGCCATCAGCCTCGGCCAGCTGCCAGCTGGGAACAGTGACAGTTTGTGTCCTCGGAGTAAATCCCAGCTTAATCCAGCCATGAGATGGTTTCAGACAGCCATCATCTGAACTGATACATCAGTACCTGTGCACTTTTATCTCTAAAGAAAGCACCAACCTACATCCTTTCTTTGGTTTTTCAGAAAAAACCCACACGAAACTACTGAATTTCACTGACACAAATATTGAGTTCAACAGCTTCATCCTCACTTGGAAAGACAGAAGAGAGCGTGGGTTTGTGATATAAGTAGTGAAATTTCTGTGGCTGAAATATTTTCTTTTAAATTTCAGAAACAGACAGAGATGCTGAGCTTCTCTACCAGGTGATTTGTCCACCTTTCCCTCATAAGAAAACAGCCCAGCAGATCTCCCTTTAGGAAGGTAAGATCAGTCTCCCCTGTCCAGGTAAAGGGATTCTGTGGTGTAGATGCAGTGCAAATTCAGGTGGTAATGGGTTACTCTCCTTTGCTGCAATCTCCTGCTTTATCGATTCAATACCACATTTTCCCTTCTGGCCAGCAATAGATTCTGCTTTAATACCACTAACTGCAACATTTGTGTCCACTTCAGTGGCATTTAAGATACTCTTGTCTCTTGCAATTACACCTCGGTTGTAGCACTCCTGACATCAATGGCACTTAAAACACTTGTAACATAACCCACAAACCCTTGAATGGTGGATGTTAACAAAGTACTACCACATTTATCAGAAATTCTGGGGATTAGAATCCAGGGGTTCAGTGAAGTGCAGCTCCAACACCGAGGCTGCCCTTGGGTTGTTTATCTTTTCTCCCTTTGTGCTTTGGGACCCCAAGAGATACATTTAATTAAAAGTATCCTGAGGGTTATCCTCTGCTTCTCCCCACGGACTGTAAAGCCATCTGGTAAGTGTTAATTAGGTTGGCAAGCAGTCGATTAAGCTAAATTGCCACTTTTCTGTCTCTCTTACTGCAGTCTTGTATCCCAGACATGGTGCCCTGTGGCTCAGGGGTGACACTTCCCACAGCAGAGCATTCCCAGCTCTTATCAGGGGGTGTGGATGTCTCAAAGCAGCTCAATTTCAGTAAAAAACATCACTAGTCAGGCCACCAAAAATATAATGATTTTGGTTTGTGTCCCTCTGCTTCCTTGGATCACGATTTCAAGCTCTTCTCTAAAATATTAAATGCTATTTTTTTTTTAAGCCCTGTAAAACAAAGTTTTAAAAGTGAATTGCATGATTCCTACAGCTGACCCCAAATGTGTGGAGACTCCTGTGAAACTGGGAGCATTAGTAATGCTGTAACAATCTGCATTTCATTTAACAAGCATCCTGTTAAAAACAGACAGAGAGCTCTTTCAATACACACTTCAGTCACCTAAATCCTGTCTTAACTTCTCCCAAGACATTTCTGGTCAATTAAACCTCTACCAGGAGCATGGAGCAAGCCAGAATTCCATAGGTTTTACCACAATCTTTTATTCAAAGTTTGGTTTCATTTGTCTCACCTGAAAGACAAACAGAATTAAACAGACATGCAACATTGCCTGTGAAAAATGAAGCAATTGTCCTTTATAGTGCAAGAGTGTAAAGCTTGATTTATTTACACATTTTAAGGTGAACAGAATGGTGTAGGCAGATCATTTTATACATTCAGCTGTGCTCCACAGAGTTAAGTTACACATAAAATACACACTGAGGATCTTTTAAGTGCTCTGTGCATCCAGAAGCCACACAGGTAAGAGATGTCAGTTCACACTGGGTAAAGAAGCCAAGGGATGAACCCAAGGAGCTGCTCCTTCACCAGAGTGCTGGAACAGCTCCTGGTGCTGAGAAATGCCTCCCCTTTGGAATGTGGGGGTGCTGTGCCATGTGCAGGGTCCTGCATGAGCCCTGCAGAGCTGACATTCACAGATCAGAGTGTGCTGTACAACACTTAAATAATTTTTCACCCTGAAATGTGGCACGGGGCTCCTCTCCTGTAAACCTTCCTGTGCTGCTCAGCACTTGCTGCAATTCCAGGCATGGCCATTGTCACCTCAGACTTAATAAATATTCTGGGAAAAGTTCAGTGTGAGGGTGCAAAACCCTTCCTGTTTCAGCTTCTCTGGACTAGAAGGGAGGTGAGGAGTTTAATTCACCCCTGAAAGAGCACAGAAGTCCTTCAGTCAAGTTTAAACAAGACACTTGGTTTCTCTGGGCCCTGCTCATGCCTTTTCTTAGGCTGAAGAGCAGAAAATAACATTTTCTTGGAAGACTGGGAGAAAAGGCAAGAAAGTGGGAAGTGCATAAAATAAATTAAAAAAAAATAAACAAACAAAACCAACCTCACTTTAAGATTCCAGTGTTGAACAGCAGCAGCAAACAGGAGTGAGATGCAGCCCCTCAGTCATGGAGCTGAGGCCCACGGCCCAAGGAACACCCCAGGCTCCACTGCTGTGGCACAATAATCAAAAATATTGTGATTTATGTGCTGTAGAAACAGACACCACCTCCAGTGGAGGCCTTTGGCAGGAAGTTTCCAGAAGCAAACAAAGGGAGATTTCTCTGTGGATGCAGGTAAAGGGAACTGTCATTATTAAGTAGAATTATTTGAGCACACAGAGACTGTGTAAATAAAACTTGGTTATGTGAAGCTTTAGAATCTTTGCAAAGAAAGGGCCAAAGCCACACAATGACACAAAAGCTCAGCTCGTGGCTGGGGCAGTTCCACTCAGAGAAGGGCTGACACCCCAGGGCTGTGTGCAGGGAGCAAGGTCAGGAACTGGGCTCAGGCTCAGGAGAACTGGGGAGTTCACAGCAAACCCAGGCCTGAAGCAGGCCAGAGAGCAGCCTGCAAGGGGAGCACAGGCACCTGAGAGCAGCTCTGTGCCCTGGCACTGTGTCCAGCTCTCAGTGGACACACTGAGGTGTTCAGGGCTGTGCTGAGCAGGAAAACACAAGCCAGGCTTTCATGGCTGCAGGACTGTGCTCCAGTCACCTGCTGGGTTTAAACCCTGCTAGAACTGGGACCAGTGCACTGTCACACACAGGACCATCCTGATCTGCATGTCAGCTGCCAAACATTTAGGCCCTTCTGATGAATTATTTTATACCACCTAATTAACCACAGAGAATATTGCCATGGAACAAGTGTGTGCTGTAGCACAGTTTGTTTTCAGACTCTGTTCTGTGGCTGCAGAATAGCTCAGAACAGGTTGATTAAATAGGAAGAGATAAGGAAAGGCAGCATTCCTGTGCCCTTCCCATTCAGCCTCCCTGCACTGCTTCATTCTGCATTGTTAATGAACAAAAGCTGCCTATAAATTCACCAACAATCGATGACCACATCCAAAGGCAGTCAATCAGTGTCACTGCACCCCAGCACGATGAATGCTCTGGCAGCAGGAGCCCATTCACATCCTTATCTTGCTTAATCACAAATAAAGTATTGAGGGTGGAAGGAAAACTGTTATTTCTTGAGGTTCCCCAGGTTCCAGTGCCAGGGATGCCACTGATTAAGATCTGAATTGTGCCCAGCAGGTGAAGAAACCTGGGTACAGCCCCAGGGCACCTCCCTGTGCAGGGGGAAGGTTATTTTTCTAAGCTGTACAAAAATGCCAAAGCAATCCAGAGTATGTCCAGATGGAATCAGTCTGCAGAGCTGGCAAAGCAAACAAATGCAAAGGAACAGTTCTGTTGTCATTTACAACAAGAACCTGGAATAATCAGGTACAGGTCAGGGGAGTTGTTGGGAATTTCTGGCAGTGGGAACAGAAACTGGCCACGAGTCAATTTAACAAATAAAAATAAATAAATGCAGAAAGACACTGTTCCAAATCTCAGATAATCCCAAACTCCCTGGTATTGGGGGAATCACTTAAAAATACACAGACCAGGAGCACTATTCCTTTCCAATAGAGTTCCAGGATCCTGGAGACTCCACTGTGCAGACAGCCCAAGCCACACTGAGTGGACTTAAAATTCAGTGGAATTAAAATTCAGTTTCCTAGCAAAAAAAACCCCAATTTTAGAGCAGCCAGTGCTATCAAAGTGCCAGGATAACCAGTGAATGTTGCACTTTGTCCTCCTCACTTGACAGTTCCCCATTCTCCCTCAGTATCAGCTCCTGGCCATCTCCTGGAAGCTGGAAAGATAAATATCAAAGTACAAATATCAAAGTACACAAAGTTCCATTATCCTCACAGGCCTCAGTGAGTGCTGGGCTGTGCAACTTCTCAGGCCATCCACAATAGTAGACAAGTATTGTTTTTCCTTTTGATAAAAGAAAAAAAAGGGGGGAGGACCCCAGCTTACATCACTTTAACTGAGCTTTTGAACTAAGGAACTTCAACAGCTTTAAGTAGCTTTAAGGACCACTGAAGTGGGAAATCCTGCCTCAATCAGAAAGAAAATAAATAAATGTGATAAAGAATTCAGATTTTGTCCAAAATGACAGAAATTCCCCACCAGACACAGTCACATCATTCTCATTTTTCCTTGTCCTCATCCTTTATAGTGCTCCCTCTGCACCATTTAATCCAACTTGAAGCTCCTGCTATGAAATCAGAAAACTGGCAAATCATCTTTGTTCTAAGCCATATAATCCAGTGGTGCTCTACAAACAACCCCCATCCTCAGTGCTTGTGTTCAACACCAGAACAAGAAGTGCCCAGAATTGGTGGTTTGAAGGGATGAAGTGTTCACTCTCACCAGTTGTGCTGCTCTAAAGACACAGCGAGTTCCAGTGGTGCTGCTTCAAAACAATTCCATTTATTGCTGTGTCAGGGGAGCTCTGTGGTCACACCAGGTTTTAGAGCCTTCCTGGAAATCTGTCACAGTCCCTGTAAATGAAAGATTAAATCCTGTCCTCCTCTCTCAGTGAGCAGCTCCTGAAAACTTGTTCAGAGATAAAACCACTCCCAGCAGGGCTGAAAACTGCACACTCACTTCTCTTCCACAGCATCTCCTCTCTCATCAGTTCCACAGTGCTGCACTCACCATTCCATCATTCCACACTCCCAGCCAGCAGAATTCCATGCTCAACTGGGATCTGCTTCCTGCCAAGTGCTTTCAACTTCCCAACTAGAAAAAGTTGTTTATTTTAATAATCAGCTTGGAAAGTTCAGCTCCAGACGAGCTTGAAACTCTTCTCAATGTCAGCTTTATGCTTGCTGCTATTTGAACAGGTAAATAAATAAAGGTCAAACTCGTGACACCTCTGATCAGTCCTTGAAGGTCACTCACTCCTTCTTGCTGTGCTCCAGCACCCTGTAGGGAGGGACAGAGACTCCTTTGGGTCCGTGCTGCTCCTGCACGATGGGCAGCGTGGCTGGGGTGTAGATTTCTGGCATGCTGTCATTGTTCTCCAGGGCACCGTAGGAGAAAGAGGCTTTGAGCTCAGGCTGCACTGCAATCCCTTTGTCGTGCATGTTCTGCATGCCTGCAGGAGCAGAGGCAGGGATTAGGAACAAAAGTGCATTTTTCCTGCTCTCTGTTGAGCCAGGAAATGAGGAGTCCCCGAGGCTCATCAGCTCCTCGGGTGTTAAATCAAAGACAGGATGGGTTTGTGCCCAGTACTGGAGCAGCTGATGGAGAAAGAAGCTCCCAGTGAATGAGGGATGGCTGCCAGTTCTCCATCAAGTGCTGCAGATCTTCATTCAGCTCAGCACAGAGCTTGGCTGTGCTTCCCAAAGGAAACTGCTGCTCCTCTACCTCACTTCTGAGCCATCCCCCAAATCAGTTCTTCCTGCTGCACTGAGCCCAGTCCCACATGCTCAAACCAGTTCATATTCCCAGGTAAGAACTGCCTGACCCACCCAGAGCCACAGCCTGAGCCTCCCTGTGCAGCCCAGGCCTTGAACACAGGAATGAAGCCCTGGGCTTTGCTCACCTGGCATGGCATCCATTGAGATGTAGGGCTCGAAGGGGACAGGCTTCTTCCTATTCCTCGTGATCAGGAAAACTCCCAGGAATGCTATGAGGCACCTGAGGGAGGAGAAAGGATCACTGAGATCCCAGGCAAGGGAGAGCACAGAATATTCCATCCAGAATTCAAGCACTGCCAAGTCAGAATTCCAGAATTCCTTGAGCAGCACTGGAACACCCCCAGCAACCAGCACAACTTCACCTTTTCTCTATCAAACACAGGGAAAAGTCCTCATGTTAATTAATTAATTAACCTTGGCTAACTGCAGGGGAAAGGAAGCACAGCAACATTTGGTTCTGCTTTGATGGAATTCCAGGATTTAGCAGCCTGACCTTTCCAAGGCTCCCAGTAAACACACCAACAACCACGGACCTGGATTGTTACAGAGCAAGGTGCAGTTCACAACAATCATCTCCCAATTGTTTGGGGATTTTTTTCTGTACTTATCTAAAAGCCCTTTGAGAATGTCCTCTGATTATGGAGAGCTAATTACACCAAACCACTGAGTTACACAGGAAATGTTTTACTGATCAGATCTGCATTGTGCCTTCTCCATGCTCTAAAAACTCCAGAAGTCAGACACAGTTCAGGGAAGGTGCAAAATCTGAAAAAAGGTTCCCAGAGAGAGTTTCTTTGGGTTATTTTACAATTCTCCCAGATTCATGAGCAGGCAGCTTGAAAACCAAGCCATATGCTCAGCACCCAAGCTGATCCCCAGGATTTAGTGATTAATTGTTGTGTAATTGTGCATTACCAAGGGTTACACGAATTTTTCCAAACACAACACTGAGCTCTAAGGGCCACTGTCTGCTCTGACAGAGAAAATGCTTTCAGCCTGTTCTCTTCTCCAAGACAGTCTGTCCCTCCATCAGAGAGGTATTTTTAAAACAGATTTGTATTTTTCAAATTTGAGTCACATGAAGCAACAATTTTCAGTCAAGGAAACCTGGAGCACTTACCCCAGTGCAAACATACAAATGTGGAGAACATCTTCACCCATGAAGTCCAGGTAAAAAGTTGCTCCTTGAAAAGGAAATAATTCATTACATTTTCCCAATTCCACCTTCAGCCAGAACCCACATCAACCAGGATTCCTATTTTTATAGCCAGCACCTTTGTTTATTTAATGATCTTAAAATAAGTGTCCTGATTTCTATTTTAACACAAATTCTTGACAAATCTTTTCGGGTTTCACTACCAAAATAGTTCTGCTGGTGTCACTAACAGACATGCAAGTGAACCTGTGCAGGATAAACAAGAGGGACTATTTTGGAATGATGAAACAAATTGGATTTAACTACAAAAAGCTGCAAACTCTTGACCCCAAACAACAACAGCCAGCTCCAACCTCTAGAAGTGTCCTTGGTGGCAGCAGGACACATGTTCTGCCTCCTGCTCTTTACATTTTTAATGTAAAGAAAATAAAGTAAAAAATAAATAACAAGGAAACATTTTACCTGCATATTTAAGGACACATATTGAATGAGGAATATAAATTCTTCATTCAAATATAAATTCCTCAGTCTCAAATATAAATTCCCCTGCACTTTAAACAACATGACAGCACTGAAAAGAAATTTTTAACATAGTCTAATGGAATAATTCACATTTTTGTAAAGGAAAACAAAGCAAACAAAGCCAGTGCAGATGAGAGATGACAAAAAGATAGAAGTCATCATATTGCTGAATATTCACGTTCTTCAGGACGATTATTCTCCAAAACATTTTGCCCTTTTTTTTTTAGAAAAGTTTGTGCAGTTACCTGCTGAGATTGCTGCTGTGGTGGAGAGGATGTAGCCAATGCTGGAGATCTGGGCTGAGTCATAGAGCTGGGAGGCTTGAGCTAAAAACCTGCAACACAATCACAGGCAACAGGGGCTGATTGGGAAGGGTCCTTTTTTTGGAAACACCTTTCAGAAGTGATGCATAAATTTAAGGAAATTCATTCTTTTTCTCACTGAATAGCAGCAAGCTTTGGAATGAATAAAAAGGACAGAGGAGGGAGGATTGTGGCTGAAATTACTGCCCAACCTCAGGGCCACAGTGTCCCTTGTATTTTGAGAAGCCTTTTATCCCTGCTGCTGCCAGCTTTTTATGTTATTGCAAGTACAAAGGGAGAAAATACTCCTAAAAATAGACACATTATCAACAACACTGATCCTGCACTTTGATTTTAGCCAGTGCACAGATACTGCATTTGATTGGCCACCATTTAGGTGGCATTTAGGGCAAATTGGCAAATACTTGAACGGTGGCACTAAAACCACCTGGCAGTGTCACTTTGTGGCAAAGCAAAGCCCAGCCAAGCTCCTGGGACAGATCACAGGAATGGAATAATTCTCCTAAACTTTAACAGGTATTTTTGGCACAGTAACAAACAGCTCCTGACCCACACCCCAGCCCATTGCAGACACAGAGAGGAGTCCTTACGTGGCCTGGTAGATGGCTGTGGCAATCATGCACACCAACATGATGTAGAAGATGGGGGAGTCCAGCTGCAGGGTCCCCTGGATGGACACCAGGACCATCCCAGCCACGGCCTTCACTGTCACCACGGTCATGGAGCCTGGGGGGACACCACAGCTGCAGGAACAACCCCAACACCCCCAAAAACCTGACCCTGCTCCTGCCAGACCCAGCAAGGGATGCAAAGTGCCCTGTTTGTCACCAGCCCTGCCTGTTTTATTCCCCACAAACCTCTATCAATGTCCACAGAACTGGGAGCATTTGCTGGTTTTGTCACTGTTTAAAGAGTGTTGTGCAATTAGATGATGAGAGGATACAATTTTCCATTTGGTTTGGTCCATAAAGCCAAGGATGTTTCCAAAACAAGAATCAGGAAGAGCTTTCCTTTCTTGAAAGCTGGGCCATTCAATTAGGGCAGTTGCTTTGTAATTCATGGAGCCTCTGAGGCACCACTGAAATCCAGCCCCAAACAGCTCAAAAAACCAAAAAAGAGTAAAAGAAATAACACTGCAGGAGCTGAAGGTGCAAAAATAGCAAAAGTTGAGGGCTGTGACACAGATTCTAGCATGGCAGACTTGCTGTCACTCATCCTTTTAAAAGTTTAATTGATTACAGTCTCTATTTAAAAAAAAGTTATCAAATGTGTAAATCCAAAGTCACTGCAGGATCCCACTGTGGGATATCAGATTCATCAGGGACTCAGTTTCACAGGGACAAGCTGGGGTGGCAGAGGATTCCTCATTTCTTTAACCACACAGCAAATCTTAACAGAGCTAAGAATTCTTGTAGGTCAAATCCTCTCTTTCACCTACTGAATGAAACTCTTTGTGTGCCCAGATTAAAATTAAGAACACTAATAAATAACCTGCACTTTCTGTGCTTGGCAGATTATTTGTCTGATGGGAGACAAGCCTTAATTGTCAAAGGTCTTTTGCAAAGATTCTAAACATCAGCTCCAGGAACATTTCTGGAGGAAATTAGTGCATTTCATGGCATTAATTAAATCAATATAATCCCCTGCATGCCTCAATTTACTGTTTAAAGATCTTAAAAGTCCATATCAACTTACCCAGCAAAGCAACCAGCAGGAGAATAATGACAATGTAGTTTGCATTTCTCTCCTTGTAAAAATACAGCAGCAGACAGAAAGCAATGATCTCCACGAGCTACAAAAGAGAAAAATGAGAATATTAGAGATGCAGAGCACATGGGACTGGCAGTAAATGACATTCTGAGCCAATTAAAAATTAGAATAGGGCAAATCAAAGGGAAATGGGGATCCCACACAATTATAGACCAAATTCAGCATCATCTTAGACCGCAGTTAGAGGAGAGATTCAGCAGCTTCTTGCAGAACAGGAAACACAGGGCACTTTTGGGGTGGGATTTATGGTAAAGCAGCTGATCAAATAGTCCTGAGTGAATATTCACAGGAGAGATCTCAGTCTGCTCTCTGCTCTGAGCTTCCACAAGTGATCCTGGGGCAATGGGCAAGATTATCTTCATTAAAACACAAATTTCATGGGATTTTCAATAAGAGATTCGTGGGTCCAGAGAAAGTCAGTGTGGAAAAAACCCAAATTCAGGCACCAGTAAATTTTCAGTCAAAGACATTGAATCCTACAGAATTCAGAGAAACAAAAGGAGCTGTGCATGTGTCTGACACCTGGAAAAGCTGGGCCAAGTTCCTGAGTGAACACAAGGAACATTGCTGGAAATGAAACTGTCCCCAAGAGAAAACCTCCCCCCCCTCCATGGCCCCTCACCATGTAGAGCAGGAATGGCCAGCTCACTAAATGCCTGGTGATGTTTTCTGCTGTCATCTTCTCGTGGCTGTTGGGTCCAAATGTCACCAGCAGGTAAGTGCCAACCACTGCCAGGCCACAGCCCACGAAGGACAGCACGTAGCGCCCTTGGGCAGGCACAGAACAGGACACGACAGGGTTAATGAGGAGTGTGGGGTGCATGGAATTAATTAATTCATCCCACAGGATCATCAGGGTGTTCCTCTAGGGGATTCCTGGGTGACCTTCCCACCCCAACTCCAAAATATTTCAGCCACCAGGAGCAATGGGGCTGTGGGAGCTGAGACAAAGTTGGTACCAGGTGGCACCTGCTAAATAAATAAATATCTGCTCAATAAATAAATATCTGCTAAATGAAGAAAGCTCCAAGATCTGGGGCTGATCCTGCCTGGGCTGATCCACAGCCCTTCTCCCACTTCTGCCAACACCTCCATGTTCATGGAATTCAGCTCATTCTCTTGTGCCTGTTGTTGAAGCTTCAGCCTGTTTCTAAATTCTGTGATGTTCAGGGGATTTGGCACAAGCCAGGAAAAAAAATCCACTTGTAATAAACAGTGGATGAGATGACACATTTAGTCCAAGAGGTGCTAATGAGACCTTGCCATCCCTGTAATTATAATTCCTGAGGGGCCCTGCTGTGTGTGATGCATTGTAAACAAAGGAAAAATGAAAAGAAGCTGTGGTACTTACTCAAAAATTCCTTGGGCTTCCATTTTTCTTTAATAAATATAATTCCTATGATTGCACTAGCTATGGAGAAAAAGAAAAAAAGGAGAGAGAAACAGTGAATTCTGGAGTCAGGAATCTCCCACTGGAACACACTCAGGCTCCTTCCTCCTTACCCACTACAGACACTGCACTGAGGGGCACAATCAGAGACAGAGGAGCAAAGGCATAGGAGGAAAACACCCCCAGCTCTCCCAGCACCAGCAGCAGCAATCCACTCCACCAGGTCTTGGTTCTGAAGTAAGCCCGGGGGTCTTTGGAGCCTGCCAGCCTGATGTGGCTGTATTTCTGGGCAAGAAAACAGAAATAAAAAGCTTTGTCATGTTGGATTGATTATTTCAATGCAGGATGAGTATTTGCTTCAGAGAACTCACCTGGAGGTTGAGGGCAATGCTGCTGACAAGATGCCCAAAAATAGCCAGAAGTGCCCCAATCAAGTTCTCCTGTGAAAACAAAGGGAACACACAATCACTGGATTTATCCAAGCAACTCCGAGGGCTTTGCACACTCTGCAGGAGAGCAGGCTTTTAAAACCACTCCTGAATCATGGACTAGCCTGGGTTGGAAGGGACCTTTAGAGGTCATCTGGTCCAACACCCACCTGTCAACAAAACCTGTTTATCCTCCTCCCTTCCTACTGACACGGGGCACTGCAGATAAGAGCTGTGGCTGTGAACTCAGGTGGAAGATAAGACTCAACAGCCACTTTCTCCAAGAGATTTCAATTAGTTTGCAGTTCCTCAGAGAGGGGGAAGATAAGGATAAAAAAACCCCACACCATCACTCATTCTTCCCTTTGAAAAACTCAATTATGAGAATTTTATTGCCCTAGAATTTGACAGAGAATGGATCAGGAATCTCTGCTTCCCAACTATTTTGCTCTTCTCCACTTTTACAGCTGCTGGTTCAGTCACTAATAATGAGGCAGCCCAATTATCACAGATTTTAGTCTGCTTTTTGTATAAACCAGTTATTCCCAAAGTCACAGGAGACTGGTGACAGCTCCCAGCCAGTTGCCAACCTCTTCTGCACTGGCATTCAAAGCTCAGCAACAACTCTCACTCTCTAAAGATGGAATTTAAAATAAAGAAAGGATGTAAAGCAGGCTGAGTCACAAAGGAGATTGAAGAGAAGAACCTGAGGCCACCAAACATTTGTGTGTTCCCAAAATTGCCTAAATCTCATTAAATGTCATTAGCACTGTTCCTTCAGCCTAGTCCTTACTTGGATTGATTTGGGATAACCCAGCTCACATTCAGATGTGAATATGAATAAATGGAATAATCTTCATTTTCTCATCCACAGAAGAACTTCAGATTTCTAATTTTAAGCAGCAGAACAAAAACCTCTTTATCAGAATGCATAAAAATAAGATTTACCCCAAACAGCTTCACTCAAAACCACCTCAGAGAGGTTCCCAGGACAGACAGACAAGGGAGGATGTCACTGTGTCACCACAGTGCAGAGCTCTCTGGGCTGTGACAGCCTCAGGACAACAGCACCTGGGTCAACTTCCACAAGGGCCCAGGACTGTGGTCTCAAAGGAAAAAAAAACCAAAACTTTTTAGCTGAGATTTTCTGAGCACCTTCAGAATCAGGGATTCAGAGGGAATTTATCTGTTCCCAGCTGGAGAACAAGGAGGAATTACAGCCTCATGTGGCCTCACCCCTCTGAAATTCAAACACCTGAATCCAAAGAGCAAACCAGAACCTCTGCTCTGTTACTGCTGCATGGCTTAGGCTGAAAAGGCACCTGTCAGAATCACTGCACTGAAACATCCCCACACACCCACTGCCACACCTTCCTCCAGCTCCTCTGCAGACACAGAATTTCTCTTTCTCACTGTGCACAGGATGTGACACCCCAGGAATGGCTGAATACAGACACAGAGCCCTTTCTGCAGAAAATAACCCCAAAGCAGCATCATTACAGCTCATTCCAATAATCATTTCTGGCGATGGAAATTTCCCCACCGGGCTGGGAAGCTGACCTTGTAGGAGAAGGAGTCTGTGTGTGGCTGCACAGAAACTGCTGCTGTGGCCAACGGGAGCTGCTGGAGCTGCAGACTGGGGCTGTTGCCTCCTTCCATTCTGGTTTTTTGGTTTTTTTTTGCTTTTCAGCCTTCTTGATGCTGGAAGTTCTCTTTAAAGAAAAGACTCGGACCCTGCTGGAATCAACTTCTGGTACTGCTCCCTGCCATCCATCCTGTTCCCTTGGGCAAGTTCAGGGAAGCACAGACAAATCCTGCTGCTTCCCTTCCCCTGCCCTGTCTCAGGGTGGGCACCACAGGCACGAAGGAGGGTGGATGAGCCACTGTTTCCAGCCAGTGAAGCAGCAGGGTTATGTTCCTTCAAGGTGAATCTAAGGGAAAAAAATGAAATAAAAAGCAAAGAATTAGATTAAATAAATCAATGGTCCAAAACCTGCAGTGAAGGATAGACCCCTGGAATCAAACAGCTACACATAAAACAGGAAAGCACATTTAAATGTCTTCTTAGAAAGCCTTGGACAGAAACTCAGAGACTTTGCTTTACAAGCCCTTGTGAACTGGCTGGGCCCCAGGGGTGACACACTCAGCTGGCATTTAACAGCACAACAAAGGCTCTCAAGTCCTCCAAGCCCTGCTTTTCATTTCCCTCCTCCCTGAAGCTCCAGTTTGTTCGGGACCAGCGCTCCGTGAGTCACCCCATCCCCACGTGCTGGGCATGACAGCGAGCAGAGAGGTCAAACCAGGAGAATCCCTGCCAGCAGTCTGCATTCCTCAGAACCCCAATTCCTCCGAGCCAAACTCGTCGGAGGTATCTGGAAAGCACCACCGAGAGCTCAGGGAGCAGCAGCACCACCCGTGCTCTGTGTGAAGGGGATCGGGGCAGGCTGGGACCCTCGCAGGGCTCGCTCAGCCCGCCCGGGATGGAGCAGCCTGGGCATCCCCAGCCCGAGCCCCCGACACTGCCCGTGGTCACCTCCTGCGGCAGCGGGACCCGTCCCTTGGGCACCCTGAACTGCCGGGCAGCCCCAGCGTGGGGCACAACAGCTGTGAAAGGGCAAAAACACCCATTTGTGAGGGAACGGGGCAGCAAATCCCCCTCCCATCGCCAGCGAGCCCTGCCCGGCCAGCGCAGAGCGCCCGGACACCCCCGGCCCGGGACACGGAGCGTTCACACCAAACCCTCCGCTGCACCGACCCGGGACACGGGGCGTTCACACCAAACCCTCCGCTGCACCGGCCCCGCTCCTGCCGCCCCCCTGCCCCTCGGGGCCGGCCCCGCCACTCACCGGCGCCGCCGCTGACCCCAGCCCGGCCCCGGCCTCCAGCTCCGGCTCCCGGTCGAGCGCCGCAGCCGCTTCCTGCCCGCCGTATCCGATTGGTCTCCAGCGCTGTCAATCAAAGCCCCGGCCCCAAGCTGGGCACGAGGATTGGCTGCCGCGCGGAAGCGGGGTCTGCCCCAGCCTATGGGCGCCGGGCTCTGAGGGGCCGGGCGGAAGAAGTCGCGTTCCGCCGCTCGGCTGGTCCCGCCCGGAGCTCCGGGCCGCTCTCCGGCCCAGAGCTGCAGGGACAGCCGCGGCCTCACGCCTTCCCCCGGTATTCCCCCCGGTATTCCTCCCGCTCTCCCGTGTGCGCGGCTCCCGGTGGCACGAACAGCAGCCGGTGCGGCCTTAAGGTGCATGCGCGAAGCGCCTCTACCGAGCCACCTTAAACCAGCCGCGGTGGTGCTGAGAGCTCGCGTGTGATTGGGCGCTTGCCGCAGTGCTCAAAGTAACAGGTACGGTGATTGGAGGAGAGCTGAGGCGGCCGTTGTCTGGCAACCGGGTGTCCGCATTCCCGGTGCCGCCGAGGGCCGGTGATGCACCGGCAGGAACGGGCAGGTACCGGTAGGTAAGGGCAGATACAGACCGCTCACCTCACCTGAGCACGGTCGGGGGTCTCCCCGGTGCTCCCCCTCAGCCGCTCAGGTCTCCGCCATTCCCAGTGGGGCCCGCGCCGCCTCACCTGGGCGGGGCTGGGCCATGAGGCGACTTCCGGTGGCGCCCTCCACGGGCTTCACCTGAGGCCTCACCTGAGGGCGTCCCCTCATCCCTCAAGCCTCGGGTTCTCTCAATGGAGACAGCAAATGGCTGACCTGGGCCAGCTCTGGAGCCTCGGCCCTGCTGCACGTTCAGAGCTGCGGCTGAGCTTAGAAACAAAATCACGGCTCTGCCCTGAGTCGTGACACTGGACGTGAGCGCTGTGAGCGGTCCCTGCCATTCCAGCTCAGGGATGCTGTGGAGCACGAGGTACCTCAAGCAGAACGGCACCACTCGGTGCCATGTCCCAAAAATAACCAGCATTTAACACAGTGTGTGCAGAGCTGAAGGGTGAAAACCTCAACCACGCCAAGGTTTTCCACCCAAAGCACAGCCGGAGTTTGTTACTGGAGCAAATCAAGGGATATCTGGAACTATTTATAGCTACTGTGGGTTAGAGATGTTCCAGGTCCAAAATTCCTCCTCTTGGAGATAAACCAGTACAAGGGAATAAGAAATGCCATCAAACAAAACATTCAACAACAGCAGTGCTTCCAAGGGTTTTTTTAAATAAAACAGGGAAATGAAGTGCAGGAGTTCCTGATGGGAATGCAGCATTAATGTTGGATTTGCCTTTATCTTATATATCCCATTTCAAATGAAAGCTGCTGTTGTGTTCACATGTTTCCTGCATCTCCATATTCAGTGTTGCTATCCTTGGCTGTTCTTTTTAGGTCTCAAGACTTCCTTCAGTCGTTATAAACACCACAGAAAAGTTATCTCAAACAGAGAAATAAAAAAAAAAACAAACTCAATCAAAGGGATTTCAGTATAACCAAGTGAGCAACAAAAATTTTTGAATCTTAACAGGTTTTTTTTTGCCACTGACAATGATCCAAGACAAGAATAGCAACCAAGTTTAGACCAAGGTCATTAAATTAACTTTGTAATGACAACTGGTAACAGAATGAGAAATGGTAATGCAGTACTAGTGTTTTAAGCCTGGAAATGACTGCAGATAGATCAGCTCATTTGTGCCACTTCCTCGTCTTGCACCCACCAGCTGTGGCCCTGCTTTTCCCATATTTTTGAGCCCTCCAGGCCACACAGGTCGCGTTTCTTCAGGCGCACATTCAGAGCACTCGGCGGAGTTAATCCTTGTGCAGGGACACCCCCAGGTGCCCCCTCTGTCCGCCTTTTGCCGCCCTTCCCGAGGATCCCCGGTTTTCAGGAATTATTCCTTCCCTCGTTCCACCAGCAGAGGGAAGCAGAAGGATGCGTTAACCCCGCAGCGCTCCCCGAGCCTGCGCCCCGCCCGGCTCCTTGTCAAGCCCAGCCAACCCTCGCAGGTGCCAAGCGCCTCCTGGGCTTTCTGGATGCACCTTCGCGGCTGCTTCCTGAGCTGGGGGAAGGAGGATGCCCTTCCACAGCCTCCCCCTGTCTGGGGACTACGTGGCAACCCCAGAACTCCCAGAATTACGTACATGAAGGATTTCTGAAACTCAGTACCGAGTATGTAAAGTAGGTAAATCAAGGCAGCGTTTGGCATCTTCCCCTCTTTCTTCTTCTGCCTTTGGCATCTTCTCTTTCTTCTCCTTCCTTTGATCTCTTGCTCCTTGCTTGTCTCTCCCATCTCAGTGATATCAGGAGTGCATTATCTCAGGGTTGAATAACAGCAATCAAGGACGTAAAGGACAAAAAAAGATGAGGGGAAAATGATCAAGGTGGAGAAGTTGCTTAAAGACTTTCTGTAGGCGCCATGAGTCTGCCTGGTCAGCTTCCAGCAGTGCCAGCTGACCTGTGCTGAGCTGTGACTAAAGCAGAGCAGGCAGAGTCTGCAAGGATCTTCACAAAGCACTCCCTTCCCTTTGAGAATTTCCTGCTTGAAGGGCAGAGTGGGCAGGAGGCCAGACCACAGACTACACAAGGGCTTGGCTGCTTCTCTCCTGGGCTTTATCCCTGGAGAAGAGTTCCTGCAGCAGGTCAGGAGGGGAAGCACTGGAGCCAACAACACCAGACCTTTTGGGGGCTGCTGGCTTGGTTTCCCCCACCTGAAGGACTTGGCTGTGTCCCCTCAGCCGTTCTGGAGCACATTCCTTGAGTCAGGGATAAATGCCAGGACGGGAAGTTACCCACTTGTAATTTAGGCAATGGAAAGAGCTTATTTGCCTCTCAGTGTCTGACCTAGAACACCCAGCAGGTAACTTGACCCACTTGTGTCACTGTGCCAGTTCACCCTTGTCTGCACACATCCCTGCAGGACCCAGGCCACCAGGGCTGGGAGCTGCTCCTGCTGGATTTCCCTGGCACCACAGTGCCCCTTGCATCACCCAAACACAATTCCAGGCACTCTGAGGGCACTCTGAGGCGTGCAGGAGCTGAATCTCCAAGGGTGTGGAGGTGCTTGATCTCCAATTACCCTCAGCAGCACGGAGGTGACGATGGATGTGTCAAACCCAGAGCTGGATGCACAGGAAGGGCTCAGGAGCCTTTCCCCAGCACGTGCTGCCCTTGCTGGGCAGGGATTGCATCCTGCCCTCCCAGCAGCAGCCAAGCCTGGCAGCACCAGGCCAGAAGGAGCTTGCAGATGCAGTTTTTTATCAGCTGCTCTGGAAACCTGCTGCAATTTTAATAATCAGCCCCAGCAGAATTGGGCAGGTCCTGCTTCCCTCAGCACAACCTTGCTGGCCACAGAGCACGGGCTGGACAACCTCAAGGACATGGCAGGACCACGTGGAGATGGACCCGTGGCCAGGGCAGTGCAGGCTCTGTTCTGGTTCTGGTTCTTGATAAGGAACAGCTGGCTCGGGATCCCTGCTCCCTGCAGATGAACCCTCAGACCACATCTTCAGAAATCCCCTGTCATTTTGGAGCAGCCCAGGTCAGAGCAGCTCTGCTAAAATTCATGGATTTGCTTCACACACACCTCAAATTTTGGTCTGTCCTGAAGCGTTTTCCTACAAAGAAAAGTAAGTGGAAAAGATGATTTGTGCTCAGCTGCTTGATAACTCAGGGCATTTTTACAGGAAAAGCTGAATCCACCAGAATTGTGAATGCTCACAAGAACTGGGGACTGGTTCCTTGGGGTCTGTTTCCTTGCAGAGCTCTCCCAGTTTTCTGGAGGTGACCCATATTTTGGGTTTGTTATTTTTAGCACCATAGTAGCACTGTTCCACTTGTCTGTGCATGCAGCCAGGACCAGCTCAGCTGAGGGAGGAAAAGGAGCAGGAGGAGTTCCCTGTGATCTCACTGTAACTCAGCAGCTCCTGCAGCAGCCAGCACTGCCTGCCCACTCCCTGCCACTCTTCCCTTCAGCTTTTCTAAGGCAGAGCAGGAGCCTCTATTCCCTTCCCAGCCATTCCTGCTTGTTCCTTGAGGGGGTTGAATATTCCAGGGTTGCTGCTGCTGTGGCCAAGCACAGCTTCCATCTGGATGGGGTTTATCATCAGCCCTTGGCTCATCCATTCCCCCTCTGCTCCTTCTTGCTCCTGCCAAACCCAGTTAAATCTCTTCATCCTCGTGTCTGGAGGAGTGGAATTATGTCCCATCTGCCCATTGCCTCTTTCTTCCATCCCAGGCCTTGCCCTGTTCTCTTTCCTCCTGTGCCATTTGGGGAAGGAGCATCAGATTACTGCCAAAATCCAACTCTCAAGTCACCAGAACAGGAACCAAGGCACCTCCAGAGCATTTTCCATTGGTAGCTGGCAGACAAGACAATTAATGAAGTTCACACAATGTTCCTAGAGATCAGGATCTTCAGCTCTTCCCATGCTATACATTGGAATAATTTCATATTTGTGTTAGTATAAAGCTGTTTCTTTTATCTTCTGTGATCCCAGACCTTCCAGTTCCCACTGGGATTGGCAGAAGGACATGAAGGGCACTCAGCCCTGCTTGGGACCACATCTGAAAAGCTGGAGGGATCACGTACAGCACAGGCAGGGCTGCATTTATTTGGCTCTATAAATAGAATCCTGCCCAGTCCTCTTTTTGAAAAGCCCAGGAAAAGAAGAGAGGCAGTAAAGGTGTGGTACTGCAAATAAAGCATTCTGCCCACATGCTGCATTAATTAGGCCCAGCTCAGAAGTTACAGGTGAGATTTTAGATGTGCTGTGGCTCCCAGTCTATACAAATTGTTCTGTAGACAGCAGAGAAATCTGATCTTCCTCATCCCCAGAATCACTCAGCTTTCCATGCAACAGGAGGAGTGCATTAAAGGATTAAAATTTGGAAACTCTGAAGGCACCTACCTCGATGCACAGTTAAAATTAAAGCATGAAATCGTGTGATTTGAGAAGCAACACAGGAAATCCAATAATACCAGCACTGGTGGTGCTGGAATGGTGGGTTTGGTTCTGGCCACCCTAACTCTAAAAAAGACACTGGCAGGTGACACCTGGGGACACTGCTGGGCTCAGGGGCTGCAGGGTCACACCTGGGGGCACTGCTGGGGAGCTGTGCCAGTTCCTCCAGCTCAGCACCTGCCTTCAGGTTGAGTTCCTCAAGTCCTGCTGATTCACCCTTGTGCAAGTGACTTAACTGTTCTGTGCCTGCTGCTCAGCCCTGCAGGTGCCCAGGCTGCAGCAGGGTGTTGTAAGCCTTCATCCACAGGAATTCAGGGTGTTTTGAGATGTGGGAGCTGTTAACAGAACACCGAGTGTCATTAGCCATTATCAGATGGTTTATAATAACATACACACACCTCCTGAGCTGCTTTGTCCCTTTTGCAGTGTCTTGCTGTAGCTCTGATTGCTTGGGGATTGTTTTGTTATTTCTAGAGAGAGTTTTGGAGTTTTTTCCCCAATTTTGAGCCACTCCCCAGTGAGTTGTCCCCTCTCAGACTGCTCCTAGAGCAGCCCCATTCCTGTGCTGAGGCAGACTCCAGAACATGTGATGACTTTGCAAACTGCTTAACACAGAGTGAAGACACAACTTAATCAGCTTAATAAGCTGCCACTCATCAGCTGAGACACCTTAACAGGCTGCATGCACCCTCCTGAAGCAATTCATGCTTTTACAGTCACCTGATGGTATTTACACATCAGCAGAGGTGTTTTCCCTCCCAAATTTTGGGTGTGCAAAGAGCACAGGGAGCAGTCGTGGGGCTCAGCTGCCCCAGTGCTGCTCACTCACACATCCCCTGCACTGGGGCTCTGAACTCTGCTGCACTGACTCAGGCTGGGCACCTGCCCCAGCATGTTGTGTGTTGATTAAACTGGTTTGCAGGCCATAATTATTTTCTCTATCATGGTATAATGGCCCTGCATCGTATTAATTTTAACATTGTAAGAATTTGCTTCTGGGAACGGCCTTCTTGAATTAATCACTGACTCATGATTTACTGGGGGAGATAATATCTAACCTACAAGAGGCAGAACAGGAAACTATCTATTTAAAAGATGGCAGTGGCTGATAATTTATGACTATAGACAAAGAGATATCTCAGAAGAAGAAGGTGGACAGATCCTGCAGTTTCGTGGTCACTGCTCTCACTCAGCAAAAAAACTTTTGTGTAGCCACTGGAGGATTTGTTTTTGAGTGACAGATTAAAATTGAGGGGGGAAAAAGGAGTGAGAAACAAGAAAAAAGTGTCCAAGCAGACCTCAGAGCCATCCTCAGCTCTGGGACCAAACCCTGTGTTACAACAAAGGCAGTTCAACATCCCAGCATTTCACCAGCTTGCCATAGAAAACAAAGAAAAAAAATCAGGAAAAAGGCATCATCTTTTTGTAATACAGGGGCTTTCTTACCCCTCTCCAGCTTGAACTGGACACTCCCACATGAGTGAGGCCTGGCCATCAGATGTTCCCTCTCATTACAGTCCATTAGGAAAGTCAATCTGAGCAGTGAGCAATGAAAGCTTTAAACCCCAGAGGAGGCTGCAGGGGGTGAAGCTTCATCCTGGCAATCTGAAGGATTTTGTCCCCATTTCACTGAGATCTGTTCTGTGATTTGGGGTAACTCACATAACTCTTGGCACCACAGATTCCTGACTGCAAGGACAGCAATTCCCACCTGGAATTCTGGGGCCCTGAACAAGATCAGACCCATAGAGGTGATGGAGAGTTGTGGACACAGCAGTCACACACTGAGACATTTCCTGCCAGAGTGTCCTGGGCAGTCTCAGAGAGCCCTTCCTGCCCTTGGGAAGCTCTCCCAGATTTTGCTGTGAGTGCTGCTGGCATCTGTAGCCACTCACAGGGAGACACCAGGGTTTGAAATGTGGGTTTGCCTTTGTTGGTCATCACCCACAGGTGATGAAGGCAATTCAAAGGCATCCCAAGCCCTTTTTCCTTCTGAAACTCAGCATTTCTGCTAGCAAAGCAATACCACTTTTGCCCTGACAGTGTTTGTGGCCCAAACCACACGTGGATTTAATTTGGAAAAATTTAGGAAATGGCTTTCTCCATGTCTGTGAGCCTGGAGCTGGGAGGGAGGATGGAGCACCTTCACACATAAATCCAGAGCTCCTTAGGGCATGTTGGATTGAAGTGTCACAGGACACTTCCATGGGCTCTGGGAAGGTCCCTTTGAACCTCTGCTGGGAGAACCATCCAGAAACCAGCCTGGGACTTGGAGTAGCTGTGAGGAATCACCAGAACACCCCACAACACTGGAAATGCCAGAGGCTTCAGGAAAAGCCACACTGGTGCATAATGTACCAAGCTGCAAAAGATCTCCTGGCCCTTTGCCCTCTGAGGGTGAGACCTGGGGTGAGCACAGAGTTTATCTGACACAAACAGGGAGCTCTCCTGTTTGATCCCCTGAAATTGCTAATGGTGCTTTTGTTCCTGTGCTCAGGACTAAGTTCAGTGTTGCCTTATCAGTGCCCCTGGAAATCAGCTCTGCCCAGCACTTTTCCAATCCAGCAGCAGCTTCCCCACACGCTCCTGTCCCACCAGTTCCTTTCCTTGCTCACATTCCCTGCTGGCTGCACTCTCCTTCCTCAGTGCCTGGGCTGGTATTTACATCCCTTTCCTGTTTGTCTTGTAGGTTATCCCAACATGGATTCTCTCACCAAGGGAAGAACATCCAGTCACAGACTTCCCACCTAACAAAGAACAACGAATTTACTCCAGATTTACTCCAGAGTCTGCAGCCTCAGTCACACAAACCTAGCAGGAAAGCAAAAAAAACTTTCAGGTGAGTGCAGCCTGGAAGACACCCCACTGCCATGGGATACATGAAAATCCATCCCAGGAGGGTGATCCCAGAGTGTCCCACTGTGTCCTGCTCCAAAGGGGATGGCTGTTGTCCCCAGGAAGTGGCTGGGAGGTGGCAGTGCCTGGAAGGGCAGTGTGGGTTGGGAACAGCCTGGAGCAGTGCATCAGGGGCCCTTTATCAGCTGATCTCACAGACATTTACAAACAGTAATTAAACCCTGCACCACCCTGGGATGTGGGGGCCACTTCTTCTCCCCATTGCATGGAGCAAGAAGCCAGAGTACACCTGACCTGGAAAAAGATTCCTCATATCCCAAACAGAGGCTTTAGGCTGGGCTGGTTTTGTGCCTGAACTCTCCCCGGAGGAACACTGAGGATAAAGACCCAAATGTGGGGAGCCCTGGGCAGGAATGGTGAGGGACACTCATGTCTGCACAGCATCCCGAGGCTGTGGATAAAACCTGGCCATTTCCCCAGTGAGAGCTGGAGAGAGGCTTGGAAAAGTGTTTGCTGGGAGCCAGAACTACCATTCCCAGGTGTTCCATCCTGCCACCATTTCAGAGGGATGAAAAGGCATGAACAGAAACTGCCTTCTCCCAGCCCTCCTAGCCCTTGGGATCCTCATGGGAAGACAAATAAATCCATCAGCAGATTGTTCAGAAACATTTATTGTCACCACGCAGTGACGTAGCCTGGCCTGAGATTAAGATCATCAATAAATTCCTGACTGTGGAAAAGAATGAGCCCATGAGAAAGCCCAGGGCTCTCCTTACCCAACAGGGAAATCTTTACTACATCTCTCAGCAGCTGGATCTTGTATCAGGGGTTTGGGGGAAAGGAAGCAATGCCAGGAGCGATTTGATAAGGACAGAGGGCTGGAGGAAAGGGCAAATTAAATATGAGGAGGGAAGATGCCCAACCTGTGTTATCAGAAAACACACAAACACTCCACACCCAGCTGCTGGCCTTAGAGCCTGCTCCCTCTGCTGTCCCAGGCAGTGGGAGAGCAGGAGGGGCTCCCAGCTGGGGTCCTTTGGCATCACTGTCCTGTTCCAGCACTGTCTGGAGAGAGGAGCAGCCAGGATTCTGCAAGGCTGGACCATGGCAAACCCAGGTATTTTACAATAAACATCACAGGCTGTCCAGAGCACTTCCATTTCCCAAAGATTTTGGTTTAGAAGGATTAAGCATCACCCTGAGGGCCACACAGCAGCTCTGGAGTCCTCACTACCAGCTCCTTGTCCAGCTTGGCTGGTTCATATTTTACAATATTATTTTTAAAGGTAAGGTTGAAAAAATAAAAGCATGTTTGCAGTGTAAAAGCCATTAAAGCATCACTGGCTGTCAGGGCTTTGGACAAACAGGTTCTGTGAGTTCTGTGTGTGTAAAACTCACATCACTCTGACTGTTGGTACAACACATTCCAGCTGCAGAATTCCTCTCTTCGATGGGAAGAGGGGAGCACTTGCAGGGCACAGAGCAGCAGAACCCCCAGCACCTCTTTGCTCTGGCTTCACCAGAGCCTTCCTCACCTAAAGCTGAGTGAAACGGGAGAAGAAACACATCAGGAAATGCCTGGGGAAGCAGGAGGAGGGACCCAGCTCGGAGAGGAACGGGTTAAGCACAGCCCCTGGCTGACAGGGACGGGCCAGCAGTGCAGAGCAGTGTGAGCTGCAGAGCTGGGTGCCCCCCTGGCACCAGCACCGAGGCAGCTGCAGGCACAAACCAGCTCAGTTCTCCCCTGCCTGCATGCCCAGCTCAGCCCGGGCTGGAGGCAGAGCTCTGGGATCCTGTGCCATCCCTCAGTGCCCCTTGGCTCCTTGTTACCACGCACAGCTAACAGGATTGTTCCAGTTCATCACACTCATTTCTTGCCCTGTTTATTCCTTCTAAGATCCCCAGGTCCATCTGGGAGGTTATGAAGGGTGGGAAGAGCAGACAGGAGCAGTTCCTGCTGTGATTCCCAGCTGCAGATTTTGTCCCAGCCACCGACACTGAGGGGACACCCTGGTGACACTGGTCTGTCCTGAGTCCCTGTGGCAGCACAAAGGGGGAAATGGGCTTTTCTGGAGCCACGGGCAGCTCCTGTCCCAGCCTGGCAGCTCCCAGAGCAGCTCCTGGCTCAGCAAATCCTGCCTGGCTCACTTAGAGCAGCACAGCCAGGCCAGGGTGGTCAGGCTGGACAGCAGGCCCACAATGGCTACAAATTAACTAAAGAGGAAGGGGGGGGAAAGAAATCCCCCTTTCATTTTCATCAGTCTTTTATAGCAACTGCATCAGAAACCCTGCAATGCCACACCCGAGCATGAGCACACAGAGCTGCTCTGGGCTGTGCCCCAAAGAGCAGAGCTACAGGGAGGCAAAATCCCAACCCAGCCAGTCAGGGGCTGACACAGAGCAGCAGCTTTACCAAGGCTGGTTATTCAGCAGTTCATGCCTGGGCTGCCTCAGAGCTGGGGCTCAGCATGCCCAGGACTCTCAGTCAGAAGTGCAGCCAAGACAACTCTCAGCTCACTGAGGTAAATCCCAAGTCTGTGCACCCTGACTGTGAGCACTGAGCTCTGTGGCCACTTTCCAGCTGAGTCTGGGAGGTTCTGATACCAAACTCACTCAAAATTTAATTCTATAAATCCAAGGCACTACCTGGGGAAATAAATGAGAGCTGGGGGAACCCTCAGCTTTGCAACCTTCTAAACAGATGCAGGCAGGGTTTGATTTCCCTGACTTTAATCCTCTCCTCCATGGCCAGCACACACCAGGGCACCCCCGGACACGGCGTGTGGGTGTCCTAACAAAACACAGGATGCAGTTTTTGCCTTCACAGCCCTGCAGAGCCACACCACACACCGAGCTCTCAGCTGCCTGCCCGATGATGCAAGGAGTGAATAAGCACGAATAAAGGCACAGAAACTGGGTGTTGTTTGTAGAAGTGAGGAGCAGAGCCCTCCACCCAGCGCTGGGGATACCAGAGCTCTTGCACAACTCAGCTCTCACCTTGCTGCTCCTTTTTATGCATCTCTCACTGTGGGTACTTTCTCAGCAGGAACACTCAGGAAATTTCCTTTCCTCCCCAGCTGGGGGAGGAAGCAGCTCCTGGCCTGGGAGCTGCTGTGAGATGCCAGAGTGGGATTCCTGTGTCAGGATTTCCCTCCCATTCTGCACACCATGAGCAGGCCTGTGCTGGCCTGCCAGGGCTGCCTCACGGGCAGTTAATTACTGCTACTGGCTTCTAAGAATTGGAAGATGATCATTAACTACAATTGGTTTGAAAGCTTCCAGTTTTGTAGATGTTGAGTAACTAAAACAACCAGTGAGCTCCTCAGTGCTTTCATCTGAGGACTGCCAGTGCTGGAGGCTGGGGAGTCACCCCTAACCAGGGTGGGAATAAGGGACAAGGGCAGGGGGCAGATCCTGCTGCCTCAGGGACGGGCACTGGGGTCTGTCACAGCCCCTGTGCCACCCCCAGCTCCCAGAGCAGCTCAGGTGAGCTCTGAGCACAAAGCAGGGTCCCGGCAGCTCCCGAGGGAGCCCTTTGCAAAACACTCGGTGCTTTCACACGACCTTTGGTGCTCGGGGTGAAAATCGCCTTCATCGCTCCTATCTCAATCTTCAAAAGGAACTGGTGGGCTCCGGGCAAGGAGTCAGGAATGCTCTCACATATTTGGGAGCTCTGCTTTACGCAACTCCCAGCAACTCGCCTTGGCTGGAAGGGATGAGCGATACTGAGCCAGTCAGCAAAACACCCACCTGGCCGGGCAGGGCGGGGGCTCTGCCCCGGCTGCGCTTCCCTGCACGCAGCAGGGACTGCCCAGAACAAACAGCCGGGTCTCTGCCTCCATCCCACCCCCAGAGGGGACAGTCACTGTCACACAGCGCACTCGGGGAGCTGCAGCCAGCAGGGGTCTCATCCTGCGAAACCTAGGATGGGTTTGTGGGAGTTAAATCCCATAAAACACAGCAAAATTCATCTTTGTTCTGCTGGGAACATAAAGTTACAACTGAGATGGTTTTTTTGGTGTTGTAAATCAGGAGCAGTGCTGCTGGAGCCACGAGTTAGGCTGGAGGAACTGAGGCTCGGATGAGTAAATGTTCATCTGGCAGGAATATCTGAGATCAGACTCACAAAGCAACTCACTGAGAGCTGAGGGGTCCCCAAACCCCCAACTCTGCATGCACACAGCAGCCCAGGGCTGCCTGCAGCCCTCCCCCTCTGTCCTGCACAGCAGAGCCAACTGTCCCCATTGCCAGGGGACACCTCTGTCCCTGCTCTGCTTGTCCCCATGGCTGGGCAGGACAGGGCAGCCTGGCTGGGATGAGCCCTGGAGCCAGTCCTGCCCAGGGACAGGGGACCTGCAGCCTTCAGCTGGTGACACTGAGCACTGGGGGATTCCTGGTGGGACTGGTTTTAACTGGAGCTGAAATTCTGCTCTAGGAGGACTCACAGAATCAACACTGAATCAGAGCCATCCTGCTGAAGAAGGAGTTTGTGATCTGAAGGGAAGGAGTGCTGGAGAGATCCCAAAGGCTGATAAACCTTCAGCTTATCCGTACCTCATCTTAGAGGCCATCCTCAAACAGCACTGAAGTAATCCAAAACTCACCAAGCTGACACATTCCAACATTTCCAAATCCTCTTCCCAGGGCTCTTTCCTCCCCACTCACAGGCCTCAGGTGCATCTTTAACATGACCAGGAAAAGCAGAGGGTGAAGATGAGGGAGGAGGAAAGGCCCTGCTTTTCATTGGTCACAGGATTAATTAGAAAATACCGGGCTCCCCTTGACATTTGATGACCTAAATGGGGAACAGCTTCAGCTGGAAGGAGTTTGAATATTCCATGTGGGACACAGCAGGAGGGACATGGCTGGCCTGGGACACAGGGAGAGGCAGAGCTGCTCCTGGGAGCAGAATTCAAACTGGGCATTTCCTTTGCACTTGCTTGAAATGTCCCCAGATCTGTGTGACAAAATCCTTCCACCACAAGCTGTGCCTGGCCCTGCTCAGGGGCCCCCCAAGCAATGCTGCAGTGCTGTCACAGCTGGGGACACAGCTGGACACGGTGGCTGCAGAGGGGACAGACCTTGGCCAAAACCATCCTCGAGTCCTTTTGGTGCCTCTGGAGTCACCTCCCTGCCCTGGCTCCTGGCCAGCTCTGGAGCTGGGGGAAACGTTTCATTTTCAGTCCTTGAGCCTTTATTACTACAGAATATCCAAAACAACACAACCAACAACACAGTTACAAAAGGAGTTCACAGAGAAATGTGAAGCAGCCTGTGTTTGAAATGCTCTGTGTCACCATACTGAGTCCAGTATAAAACAATGCATATTTATACACATATAAAATACAAAAGGAACAACACAGAAATGTATAAACAAGGGTTGTGGAGGCCTCCGTGGTATTTACAGTCAGAGATGTGGCAGGGAGGGTGCTCAGCAGGCACTGTCCATCCAGCAGGAGCTGTGATTGCAGCTGGGAGAGTCTCTGTGCCAGGGAGGAGCTCAGAGCTGGGCTCAGCCCTGCTGGGAAAGCTCTGCAGGATCTGTGGAGAGGCCAAGGCCTGGGCTGGCATCAGTCACTGCCAGGGCCACCAGCTCTGCTCTCTGCCCAGGCCTGGCAGTGTCACTTCGTGTGCCCAGCTCTGAAACAGCAGCTCAGGCCCAAAGCCAGAAGGGAATAAAATATAATAAAAAATAATATTAATAATAATAATAATAATAAATTCAACAGAGCCAAGTTCCACGTTCACAGGATGATCTCACAGCAGTCTGTGGCCCGGCCCCAGGGCCATGGGGGGTTCAAGTCAAGGCAACAAGAGGGGGCACGGGCTGAGTTCTGTGGGGTCACACGTGCCAGCTCGGAGAGAAGTCCCAGGAAGTGCTGCCTGCAGCTCTTTAGAGCTCCTTGAGGATGATCTGGAACTTGTTCTCTGCCTCTACCACGTCCAGCAGAAAGGCCATGTGGTTGCTGTAGTGCTGGATGATGTTGTTGTCCATGTTCACCAGGATCCTACAGAGAAGAAGAATGGCTGGATCAGATGCAGCACACTGAAAGCAGTCCCCAGTCTGAGGGGCTCAACCACTGTTAATTAAACAATTAATTAATTTATTAAAGCCATGGCACAACACAAAGGAAGATCCAGCACAGGACAGTCACCAACCCTGGGAACTCTGTCATGGCACAGTCAGGAATTCCAGGGGATGCTGGACTCGGGCTCTGGCACTGCCCAGGGTCTGCCCTGTGAATCAGAATCTCTCTGGCTGCATCCCAGCCCCAGCCCCAGCCCTGGATCCCAGCTCTGGCTCCAGCAGGTGCCCCACAGAGACTCTGGGGGTACCCAAAAGCTTCCCCAGCAGAGCTGATCCCTTCAGCTCTGCTGTCTCAGAGCAGGGAGCCAGAGAAGTCACCTGTGCCCCTTGTGCTGTGCTCCCATCTGATCTCTAAACCACAAACCATCCCAGGGATGTTGATCAGGCACCTGAGCTTGGATTGTTTCTCCAGCCCAAACCTCACCAAGATCCAGAATTGCTCATTATTGCTCCTGAGTCAGCCAGGGACCGAGTTCAGCTGCTGAGCTCATCCCTGTGGAAGGGCCATGGCTGGGGCATTCCTGCCCTGCTGCCAGCCCAGGCAGTCCCACTGAGCTCCACTGGCTCTCACCAGATGAAGATCTGCCCCTCAAGCTGTAATTACTGGGAGAAGATTGTTTAGGGTGGAGCAATAGGATAAAATTATTGAAAATTAAATCTGGGGGAGCAGGAAGCTGGGCCTGACCCTGCCACCAGGCAGAGTGGAGATCTCTCCCATCTCCCCACACTTCAGAAGTAGCTGCTGGCATGGGTCACGTCCAGCCTTCATTAAACCAGGTGTCAAAATTATTTATTTAATCTAATTTCCAGGTGTGGCCTTTCCTTTTCATAAGATACCTCTTTGCTCCTCCTGCCTGGTTTCCCTCCCTGTCATCACCAAACAACACTCACTGCTTATCAGATGGAGGCAGGAACAAAACCAAAGCCAAACTCAGTGAGGTGGCCTCTCCCCTGAAGCCACCAGTGCTGGTCCTTTCCTTTGGGGAGAAAATTCCCATTTCTGGGGCTAATGGAGAGGCAGCATCAGCAACAGGTGGAAGAACTCCTGACAAATTCAGATGCTCCCTATGGCCCATCCCTCATCCTGAGCCAGGGACATTCCAGCATTTTTTGGAGAAGCAAACACTGATCCCTGTCTGATAAGTTCTCCATAACCTCAGGCTTTTAGACTGAGACACAAAGGATCACCATTAAACTGCCCAAACAATTCCACCTTCACCCAACTTCCTTTTCTTGGGAGACTTTACCCTCCAAACAAATATAATACAAACAAGCATTATCCCAAATCTTTAAAGCCCAGAAAGATCTGACTTTTATATGCTCCAAATAGCAGAGCCTGACATGGCTCTACCTTTTATTATCTTGTTAAAATGCTCTTGGAGCCAATGGCAGGGGCTGGAGAGGACAGGTTTGGAGGCACAGCATAAAAGCAGATGAGAGATTAGCTTACCCTCTTTTGCACTTTTTGTAGACTTTATAAATGCTTTCTTCAGGAAGCCCATATTTTTCTGAAATCTGTGAGAGAAAACATGGCAAATCTTTGTGCTTGTAAAGTGAAATTCCCACGGTAAAAATGAAAGAGAACACCGAGCTGGGTGTTCAGCAGCAAAGATTCCCCCTCAGTTTTACTCCAGAGAACAAAACCATGACCTGAACATTCTCCTGGGCAAGTTCAGTTTTGGTCTGAGGGTGGCAGGAGTTTTGTAGGTTTTTGCCAAGTGTTTTCCATGAAGGTTTTTGTCTCTCTGTGGTGAGGGATGAGGGAAGGAGAAGATGGCAAAGAATCCTCTGTGCTGACATTTTTCAAACACTCTATTTTAAAAAGTTTGTAAAACCAACAGAGCTTGAAGTGCAGCCATAAAGCCACCCCAAATCTGGGAGGTTTATTGTTTGTTTCCTTCCCAGCAGTCTCCAGAGAGGGCTGGGTTGTCAGAGATGCTGCTGATAACCATGACAGAAATATGTCCTTGTGCTCCTCAAACACAGCCAGGGAATTCCAGCACGAGGCCAGGGAGGGATGCAGATCACACATCTCCAGCCTGGAGAATGGAAAAGGTGTTTGGCAGTGGAAAATCTGAATGTGCTGTCACAAGAGGAGACTTCCACGAGGATGTGGATGGGGCAGGAGGTTTGATCCTCCCTCTGCAGCACAACACGGCCACGCCAGGAGCTCCTGCGAGGGCTCAGCCCCTGCTCCCACCTCCAGTTCCATGCCCAAGGCAGAGCAGGCAGGAGACATGAGCACTTCCCTGTTCACCAACCCCATTCCCTTTTATCTGCGGTTTGTCCATCCCCCAGGGGTTTGGGGACACTCACAGCTGTCCTGAGGCCCTGCAGGTCCGGGGTCTTCAACATGAGAGCATCAAACACCTCCTCGGACTCCCTGCGCACGTAGAGCAGCACTGCAAGAGAACAGGGCAGCGTGCTCAGGTCATTCCCAGTGCTCCCAGTGCTCCCAGAGCCCTGTGGCCTCCTGGAATTGGGGATCCCAGGGTTACCTCTCTGGGGATCTTCGTCCTTGCTGTGCTTTGGAGGGATGGGGTCGAAGTCGTCGGTGAAGGAGGCGCCGCTCCGCTTCAGGGGCAGCCTGGGCCAGGGGACACAACTCTCAGCAGGGCAGAACAGTAAAAACAAACAGAACAGCCCCAGCTACTGAACTTCTGACTGAGCAACCATCCAGCAATTAAGTATTGGTTTGTAATTACAGCAGCAGAGTTGTAACTTCCTGCCTAAAGCACACGGGCAGCTCAGGGAGGGCCCACTGAGGGCTTGGGGTCACCAAACCCAAAACCTTCTGCATCCTCCTGGCACTGCTTCCCCACTGGTGTCCTCACATAGAGGGCCCAGGCTGGGGGAGATTCTGCTTTTCAAATGTGATTCCACTTCATTTGTTTATTTGATTTTTCAGCCTCTGGGTATTTGAACCCTTCAGTGACAGTTGTGATCTTTTTTTTCCCCCTTTCGAACATTGTCTCCATGAGAACAACAGGACAATGAGGGAGCAGCTCGTGTTGGAGTGACTCTGACAGGGACAGAAATGTGTCCATGTTTCTGCTGCCCTGAGTCCCTTCCAGGACAAGTTTTAACTCAGATTCTGACTCTCAGAGCATCAGGGAGACACTGAGCTATGTGTTATCCTGCCCTGGGGTATCCTACAGCCCTGACATTGCCAAAGGAACAGAGCAGCTGGTGGGTGGGAAATGCACAGTGCTGCATCCTCACCTGTTTGCAGAGTTGGGAACAGCGGGAGGGAGCACCTGGAATGCAAAGGAAATGAATCTGTGAGTCTGCACAGCACCACTGTGTGCTGGAGAGGGGGACAGGCAACTTGGGCACACTTTAAACATCATTTCCCTCCTCCTTACCCATCAGTTTTCCCACACAATTAAACCCAAACATCTCTTTCTTAGATTAAGTGGAATTTGATATACAGGACTTGCCCAGATTGCCTGGTTTTGACAAACTGAGGTTTCTGAGGCAGGGAATGAGGAGGAGCTCTGAAGGACACTGGACAGAGGGACTGAGATGGTCACATTTTGCTAGAATTTATTTTCTACTGCTGTTTTTGCTCCCACTGCAGTCCTCTGTGGAAGCTGCAGGTGTAAAGCACAGGAATATCAAGCTGGAAATACCTGGAGAGGTTTTCTCCCTCAGCACTCGGGACATGGAGCTCCCCTCAATCCCACAAAGAGCTGTGGGGAGCTTTGGGTTTTCTCCATAGCAGCAGGGCTGGGGGGATGCCCAGGCCGGGAAGGACGAGGAGGGAATGCCAGGGGGAAGGGACTCACCGAGCCACACCTCTGCGGGGTGGGGAAATGCACGTTGGGGATGAAGAGCACCGGCTGCGTCTCCAGGTCGCTCTCGGGCCGCAGGAACGTGATCTCATTCCCTCTGAAGCCAGAGAGCAAACAGCCTTTCAGACCTACGGATGGAGAGTCCAGTTCATCTCGGCTCCCTCGGTTCTGGGACAGGACAGCCCTGCCAAGGCTCCCAGCGGGAATGCTGGGGCAGGACAGGAGCCTGCAGGGCAGCCCCAGGGAGCCCAGAACCATCCCCAGGGCTTGGTGGGTGCTCGTGGAGGCCTTGGGGAGGCTGGGAAGGAGCCCAGCAAAGGCCTGGCTGCCCAGGGGTGCTGGGAACAGCCCGATCCATGGGAGGGAGCAGCCAGGGATTTGAGCACTGACCGTTGTTGTTGGAGTCCAGGCATTTTCCTTTCCTTCGGAACTGTTTCCTTTCATCATCCCTCATTTTCCTCTCTGCTCCCTGTGGGGACATCCAGCAAAATTCAGGACATTGGCAAGAGAGGGTTCCTCTGGGGTGTGCCACATTAAGGTGAAGGCAGCCTTAACTCAGAAATGGTCACCTCAGGGACCTTCCACAGCCCAAGCCAAGACTCTCTAACACTCAGAAATTAGAAAAATATAATTTGATTTAGAAATGAAACACGCAGACAAGAACAGCCGTGAGAAATATTTCCATGGGAAGATATCTGAGATTGGGGAAGAACCTCCAAAGAAACTCTAATCTCCTTTGATATTTAACAGCTGATCAAAAATAGAGCCAAAAATAGAGTTTATTGTGAGGCACAGTCACAGCTCTGGGCTGTTCTAGGCTCTCACACTTTCTGGTTTTATTCTTGGAGCCTCTGGCCAGCTGGGTGTATGAAATGTGGGGAAGGAGTGCAGTACCTTGTCACAGAAGATCTTGATCTGGCACACAGCCCTGTGCACCAGCTGGCTGCTGCCACTGCCACAGTCGTAGGTGTCGATCTGCAGGTTCAGGGGGACTCCCTTCACCCCCTTCTGTGAGGAGAAGTCTGTGCTCAGGCAGTTGACCCCAATGAACACCTGCAAACAGGGACAGGGGCTGTTGGTGCTGGGCACCTCCTCAGGCAGCTCTGGGAGCTCAGGGCAGGCACAGAAGCAGCTGCTGAGGCTCCTTCAGCCCTGCCAGGGCAGCAGTTGGTTTTACACCTGAGCCTCTCCCCCCACACTACTGCAGCTCTTTAGCTCAGCCTCTCCACTCCCAAAATCCTGCCTGGGGATGTTCTTGCTGATATTTCTGATCTTTCATTTGAAAGGGACCCTCAGACAGCAAAGCCCTGCAGGAAGGGAGGAGGACAAGGCTGCAGCCTCAGGAATTGCTCAGCAGTGCTGGTTAAACAAATATTCATCCCACACTGGGCTCTTTTATCACCAGGAGGGAATTAACTCCAGTGGGAACTCTGGAAGAAAAGCTGAGCACAGCTCTAATCCAATTGTATCTCCAAACTGCCAAGTCACTGGTGTGACCTTGGAATTCCCCTGGACCCTGGGGACAGATGTGCAGCTGGAGAAGCTCCCAGAGCTCCCTCGGCTGAGATTTCAGCCCTGAAACCTGATGTCAGCTCGAGTCAGTTCCTAGGAAAGAAAACCTCTTTACTGGAAAGTGAAGTGTAATTGGAAGGAGAGAAGTAACAGGTGCCATGGACAATCCAAACACCCAAATACCTGATCCCTCCTGTTCTCAGCCCCTGCCCCCTCCTGTTCCCTGACCCCTCCTGCCTCACTCCCAGCCCTTGCAGCTCTCTGAAGTCTCACCTCTACCTGCCCCAGGCCAGTGCATGAGCAGAGTTTCTGCTAAGAGTTAAATCCAGTTTTGCTGAGGTGCCCCCAGGGCTTGCCACATACCTGACATATTTCCATTTCTGACAGCTCTGCCTTGAAGACATTTGTTAACCTCTAGGGTTGTAAAAGACCCAGGTTGCCTTTGGGCTTATTGAGATCCCAAAGCCAGGCAGGGTTTTCCCAAGCTTTAAAGACTGGGGTATTTATGCTTTTCATTTTTTTCTTAGTTATTTCATCTGTTTTTCAATCCCCACTAGATACAAAGTGTTCATGGCAGACTCTGAGGAGATGCAGAACGGGCAGCAGAGCTGCACAGACCTTGCTGTAATAAACTTTCCTGGTTTTAAGGTGAAAAGGGATCTTGTGACCTGCCTGGCTCCCTTCCACATCCCACAAGGCACAGAATCCCACAGGTCAGTCATGTCTGCTGGGAAGGGGGCTCTTTGTTCCCTGACTGGGGGTTATTTAAACAGGCTGCAGGTACCTGTGAGCAGAGCCCTGAATTGCTGCAAAACCCTTTCTTCAGAGTTATCCATCAGCACTAAGAAAACATCCCTGAGCCAGTCTGGGTGTACCCAGAGTGTTTATTAGCTCATGGCAGTGCTTAAACACACACTGAGGCACGCTGTCCTGCTGCTGTCCTGCCGGGCAAACACTGCCTGGGGCCGCTGCAGTGGCAGCTCTGGGTCTGGGTTTGGAACTCTGTGTGTCTCAGCTGAGCAATGGGGCAGTGCTGGGCTGTCAGGAGGGAGCTGCAGCTCTGCTGAGGACCATTCCCAGCTCCCCTCCATGGCACTTTGTACCTTGGCTTCCTCGTGGATGTTCCACACGAAGGACAGGGCGTTGTAGGCCAACTCCTCGATGTTCTGCACCGTGTTGAAGTTCTCCTTGCAGTCAGCTGGAAGGCAGGGGAGGAGCAGTTCATACTGGGGCTGGAACTGGTGACATTCCCAGCCCCAAATGCTGCCCCTGGCTGACTCCCAGGCCAAGGGAAGCCCTGGGATGCACTGGAGGCAGAAGCCCCCCAGCCCCAGGAGTGGCACCCCTCGTACCCACGTCGATGACTCTCTGCTTGGCCGTGGGCTGCCGGGAGTGCCAGTGCTTCCAGAACTTCAGCTGCTCCGTGGGGATCTTCTCATTGTCAAACACGATCATCACCACACTCTGCAACACAGCCAGCACAGCCCAGCTCAGCACAGAGGCTCCTGCTGCCACAGAGGCTCTGCAGTGCAGCACAGGATTATCCTGTGGGACTGAATCCATCCCATCCATCCCTTTAAGCCAACATGAGCCACAAAGCCATTACTGCTCATGTTCAGCTCTGTTCCCAGGCCAGTGGAGCTGCTGGATGTCCCATTCCAGAGCTGTCAGCAGAGCTGTCAGCCTGTCTCTGTTTCTTACCTTCACTTTATTTGAAGACAAGTGCAAACATTTGCTGTCTCCAGCTGTCCGCAGTGTGATGGGGTAGAACTGTCCTTTGTTGAGGTAGGCCATGGGAGAGTCCCCAGATTTGATGTGAATGGCTTTGGGTGACCCCAGAGTGTATTCAAAGTCACTTGAATGGAACAAAGAGAGAAGGATGAATAAGCACATGCTGCTGTTTCACTGCAAAAGCAAAACAGAGCCCCAGGAGCCTCCACCCCACGGGTTACAGGCTCCAGTTTCTGCTCCATTCCCCACCTCACACACCCTGACACAGTACAGCACATTCTGATCCTCCCCAACACCCTGGGAGCAGCACTGCTCCAACAGCCTCTATTTTACCCCTCAGTTTTGGCTTAAAAACCCCAGGATGTGACTGCAGCCAGTATTTTTGTGTGGATGGCAACAGAACCACTGCTCAACCAGCAGCCTATAGCAAAACACACAAAAATGGGTGCTGAGACTTTTCCAACATCCTAAACTCAGGTTTCTGTCTCCAAATCCATACCCATAACTGGCTGAGCCAGGAAGATTCTCCCTTAATGGTCCTGTAGGAAAAGGACCTGCAGGACACCAACACCTGCTTGGTTCTGCAGAACTGGACTCAGAATCCAGCTCAGTGTGGAGGGCACCGACTTTAATCTTTACAGAGAAGCTTTGCAGTGGCACACAGAGAAGGTGTCACTGTTGGCAAGGAAATCTGAAAGAAGAGCCTGACTTCAGAAGCTCCCAGGCCTTCACCAGCAGCTGTGAGCACTGAAACCATGAGGCCACAGCTGGTTTCTGCTGTGAGGAATCCGTGCAAGCCACCACCTGTACAGGAGCCTTCACTCAGACCCTTCAAGTGCCCTGTTTAGTCACCAACCCATCTTCCTGCTCCACCTCCTGTGATGCCATCTCTGAAGATGGGCTTGGCAGCTCCTCTTATCTGGAGCCAGGAGAGCCAGAGAGCTTCAGTGCACAAATAAACAGTGAGCTGGGAGCCTCTGGCTCAGGAGACGCTGCTGTCTGTGTGAACATCCCCACGTCTGACAGCTGAGTCACCCAGTCAGCTGACTCAGGAGGCAAATAAAAAGTGGGAGGTGAAATAATGTTACCTGCTGGGAGGTTTGATTTGGTATCTGGAGCAGCAAAGCTCTGCCTGGCAGAGGGGTGGAAAGGAGGAAGAAAGCCCTCTCATGTTTTAGGAATGAGAGGCAGTGGCACCCTCTAAAATCAAGGCTGACTAACAGTGCTAAGTGAGAACCTAAACCTTAGATTAGGGGAGGCTGATGATCACCCTCATGCTCTGCCAGCCTCCTTTTCCCTGTCATTTCCCCCATTCCAAGTGGCCTGTGGGAAGATGGTGCAGCCACCTGGATGCCTCTGTGTCACCCAGCCAAGCAGGGAAGGGGCAGGGATGTGACAGCAGCTGGCCCTGGACTGAGCCCAGCCTGGTGCAGAACAATCTCAGCTTTGGGTCTGAAAGCTCAGGGGGCAGCACCTTGCTCTGAGAACACCAGGGTGACACAAGTGGTCTGTGCCATTAGCACTGGGGACAGCAAAGGGATGCAGTCCTTCCCCAGGGCAGAGCCAAGAATTCCCTGGAAAGAAAGCCCTGGGTTGCTGTTACCTCTTCACTCCATCTGTGGGGTAGCTCTCGGGGCAGGGTGGCTCTGCCTGGGGTTTGAGGATGTCACTGAACAGCAGCGTCTGCACACAAGAAAAACACAAATCAAAAATAGAATCTCTCATTGCTTTGTCCACCCCCCTTCTCCCAGACACCACAGCAGACAAAACACGGACCCTCGTTACTTCCAAAATCAACATAAACCCCCCCAGGAATCCCACAGGAACAGCAGCAAGCTTCCAGCACCAAAGCAAAGCTCCCAGTGCCCCCCGAGGACCCCCAGCCCCAGCGCTGACCTCCTGGGGGTCCTCCTTGAAGGTGCTGTCTGGCTGCCAGCGCTGCTGTGCCGGGGCCATGGGCAGGCTCTCGAACAGGGAGCTCAGGGAGCTGCTGTCGTACACGTCCCCCGGGGCCACCAGGAAGTTGTCGGGGGTGGCTTCCAGCTTGCTGGTGCCTGGAGGGAGCAGGGCTGCCTTGTGAGGAGCAGGGACAGCCTCGAGACTCAGGCCATTCTTCTTGGGCAGCTCGCAGAACTCCTGGCTCATGGAGACGTTTTCTGACAGCAGCTTCATGAGATGGGCTGAGCCATCGAAGGGAGGGATCTCAGGTTCATAATCCATCCCGTGGCAGTGCCTGCTGGAGAGAGGTGCTGGCTCAGGGCACAGTGGGCACCCCCAGCACGGTGTCACTGCCAGCAGGGCCCGGCTGCCAGGTGACCCTGAGTGAGCTCCTGCAGCCCCTGGGGGATCTCCACCCACAGCTCTCAGTGCACTCAGCGAGGGGCAGAGGTGCTCAGCAGATAAGGGATGATCACAGGGAGTCAGGGAATATGGCTTGGACTGGTTTGGGGCTGCACATCCACTGCTCCTCTATTTAGGCTGTCACACACTCAGAGCAGCAGGGGTGATAAGAAAGGTAACTGCTCTGTGGGCTGTCCATCATAAGTCTTTTTATGGCTCATGGATGCTGAAAGTTGATTTTTTTTAATACCTTTTTTAAAAGGAAAAACAATTATTGTACAAATTCATGAACTCCAGAACTTAGGAAGCAAAAACCAAAACCAGCTGAACTCAGTTTACTTCTGAAGGAGAGAAGTATCACTTGAGGTTTATTCTGTCAAGTGGTTAAAAACTGACAGTGCCAAAGTACACAGCATCCAGGAAGGGGAACTGAACTCATAGTGGCAAATGAGCCATTAATTTAATAGTTAATTATCTGAAAACCTCAAAGGACAAATGGGAGTCACTGGAAGAGCATCCTGGGAGAGTGGAACAGAAACTCTCATCAGCCCAGGGAATGAATGAGGATTTGGCCCTTCCCTTCTTGCTGCCAGTGCTCAATCCTTCTGCCCTTTGCAGCCGGCACAAAATAGGAAATAAAGGTAATTTCTTCAGCTGCTGGAGATCAGCACAGCCCCTGTGCACACAGCCAGACAGATGCTCAGCTCTGTACATGGGTGTAGCTCCATTTATGCCTGCTTGGGACCAGGCCTAAAGAATTTTAATGTGTGTCTCAGGGTTAATGAGCTGCACTGTTGCTGCTAATAACACCGTGCTTTGATGTCTATTTTCTGCAAGCTCAGAGCCCCATCCTGCATTTCAGCAGCTGCAGGAGAGTGAGGCAGCTCCAGAGAGCAGGAACTGAAGCCAACCTCTTTGCCAGGTCATTGCGTGCCATCATCCCAGCTGGGAGAATCCTCTTCTCCTTGGGGACCTAGGACAAGGCAGAGCAAAGAATTCATTTAATCTTAGATTTTCTTAATGGAGAACAGAGCAGAATTCGCCCTGGCTGTGAGCAAGTGAAGCCTCCCTGATAAAACCCCACATGAATAACAAAGAGCAGAGCTGGGCTCTCCCCTGGGCTGCTGCTGGGTTCCCAAATAACCTCGGGCAAGCCACAGCAGCTTGTTCTGGGCAGGACCTTTGAGTGGGAACATCATTCCTATTGCTTCCAATCAGGGATAAATCACATTGATCACATTTATCTCCACATTTCTCAGAGCTCCATCCTACAGCAGAACTGGGAGAATAAAACTGGTGGGGCCTGCAAGGCTGTTCAGCCCAGCAGCTCTCAAAGCACTGCTGCTCCTTATGGGTAAAAACCCAGACTCGGGGCACCTGGGTTCAGGTTTTCCACATGTTCTGGATTCCCTCGGTGGTGGTTTGTGCCTCAGTTTACCCCTGGGGATGGGTGGTGTGAGGGTGTTGGATAAAAAACTGGGGGGGCTCAGCAGAGGGGTCCCCTCCTAAGGTGGTGCACGTTTCACACCCATTTCACACCCGTTTCACACCCGTTTCACACATTTTTTACTCCTCTTTAACCCCTCCTTTACCCCGCCCCACCCACCATGTAGTAGTCGTAGAGGAGGCTGAGCGCGGCCACGCTGTCGTCGTCCCCGTTCACCCTCATCATGGCCTTGGTGGCCGCAGTCAGGGGATTCTCCAGGTAGGTTTTCCACGCTTCATCTTCGCTGGTGTAAGGGAATTTCTGGAAGTTCATGGTGTCATTCTTCATCAGACGCACGGATCTAAAACTGGGGTGAAAGTGGCAATGAGGGAGGAGCATTTCCCACAGACATTGCCATGAATGTGGGAAGGGCTTCCCCAAGGCTCTGTGGAGTGCGGGAGGGATCGAGGATCTCCTGGTCCTGAACTCCCAGAGCTTTGGCATCAGCACCTCTGCTGCTGTAGCTGGATCCAAAATCGGGCCAGAGCCTCTGCCCGGGGAGGCACAACCCCATCAGCTGCTCCTTCCTCCAGCCCCATCCTGCACTGTCCCAGGGGGTGCTGGCCACTAAAAAGGGATCAGGGAAGAATTTTCCCTTGGATGTGGAGCTCCAGACACAGTCACTCAGTGTCCAGATGAAAACAAACCTCATCGTTCTCCTTTGCTGCTGTTCATGGGTTTTAAATTATTTTTTCCCCAATCATTTGTAGATGATTTTACTCGAGGGAAGCAGACAGGCAGATCACAACCCCCTCCCTTCCACCAAAAAATTCCTGACTGAGGTGAGGCTCGTGGGACTACGTGAGAAGCAACACACCAAAATAATGCCCTGCCCGTCCTCACTTCTGGCACTTTCTCCAGGCCTCTCCATCTTATGTTAATAAACTGTCAGACACTTAATTACCCAAACATTGGTCATCTTTCCTTTTCCTCCAGCAAGCCCTGCCAGCAGCCAGCCCAGCAGTGACTCTGTGCATTCCCTGGGACGTTGGGATCACGGGATTGTTTAGGTTGGAAAAGACCCCAAAAATCATCGAGTCCAACCTTTGACTGAATGCCACCACATCCACTGAGCTCCTGTCACCTGCACCTGCTGGCACCAGCACAGCTCACACCAAAATAACATCTCCATGGACAAAAATTCCTTTTTCCTCAAAGTGGAAATGTCCACGAAGGGCAAGACTGGGTTTTATTAACAGGAAGGTTTAAAAAACTTTTTTAAATCTCCCAAGTTGCCAAGAGCTGACTGGAGTTAAACCATGACATCACCTGCTGATGTTTTTTTCATGGAAAGGCAAAGGAAGCCTTCAGGAGTTACAGCAACGAGTGCTACAATTTAATGGCATTTTTAGAAGGAATATGTTGTTTTCATTAAGCCACTCTCCGTGGGTTTATAATAAGTCCTGGTCTAGACCTTGAAGTGAATCATTCAGAGAACAATAACTCCTCTAGGAAGGAACCTGGCATCCCTGAAACTGCCCACGGTTGCTCTGCCACCATTAAATGCACATTAAACTGTGCAGGGATTGGGATGCTCCTGGATCAGACTCTCCTTGGCTCAGATTCCTGCTTTGCTGCCTCTCCTGCCTAACAAAACAAATTACAGCACAGAATTACTTTGCAGTTCAGGAATTACAGCTGATTTTTTCCATGAGGTCACCAAGGGCTGCTTCTGCTGCTTTTGTCACCTGTTCCTGAAGGAATCCTTTGCTTTTCCCTGCACCAGCCCTGCTGGTGGCCCCAGGCTGGTGATTCCTGCAGCTCTGTGTGCCCGCGGGGCTGGGGACAGGGATGTGATGGGGACAGGGATGGGACAGGGATGGGGATGGAGATGCCGAGCCCGCTGCTCCCCCCTCCCCGGCCCAGCCCCTGAAACTCCAGCAGCTCTTTGGGAGTTTCGTTGTGTTTTGCGCTTCTCACGCAGCCCCGGCTCGCTCCTCCCTCCCTCCCTCCCTCTCCGCCGCCGTCTCCGAGCGGGGCCGTGGCCGTGACTCAGATTGCAGCGCTCGGTGCCGGCGCTGTTCGGTCCTGTCCGGGCAGGAATCCTCGATCCCGGCTCTGCAGGGACAATCGGCAGCAGCAGAGCTCGAGCTCGGGGTGAGACTCGGCCCCTGCCACTGGGAATCAGCAGAGATAAACACACCGGGGCAGGAGGGAGCAGCAAAGCATCCGGGAGCTCAAAAAAGCACCCAAACCACGAGGAGAAATGCTTCGGAGCTTGATTCTCCCTCGGTTAAAACATTCCTTGTGTGGTTCCCTTCTGCCTCCCTGCCCCTCACCTCTGCTGGGAGAAACCCTGGAAAAGGCACAAAGGAAACCTGGCCTGCCCTGGGCCTGGCAGAAAGCAAAGGAACTTTCCTGCAGGGATGGGCTGAGCTGGACAGAGCCAAATCCTGGGCACAAACAGCAGGGTCCAGCAGGGCTGGCAGGACTGGGACAGCATCTCAGCATTTAGGCTGCTCCAGCTGGACACACCAGGAGCTCCAGCAGGACCCTGAGGTGCTCAGAACCTGCAGAGGCCTGGAAAGGCAGAGCAGCTGCAGAGGAACTGCACTGGCCCCAGGAATTGCACCTTTATCCACCCTGTTCGTGTTCCACGGGATCCCTGGTGGGCACTGGGCTGTGCCTGGAGTCCTGTGCATCCCTCAGAACCCATCCTGCCAGGGACTGAGGAACATCCTCCCCATTTCCTCCTGCACACAGCTCGGCCCTGCTCTGACCCTGCTCCCAAAGGTCGCCACGGCTACCCAGTGTCTGGGGAGATAAGCAGTGTGGTGACACGGATAAGGCACCTTTTGGACATCAGGACCTACAGGACACTGTGGTCAGTTTGCTCCCCCAGCACTTCAGAGCATACAGATCTCAGCAGCAGCCTCTGTGAAGCACAGCTGCAGGACAGGGACACCCAAATCCAGATGCAAACACACCTGAACTTTACTTTCCTGGCTGCCTGTGATGCCCCCTGCACGTGGCCAGGCCGTGTTTGCCCATCCCGAGCTCCTTTCCCAGGCCAGGGAAACAAACACTGGCACCAGCACCTCCCTCCCCTCTGTGTGCTGCAGCCTCGGGCCATGTGCAGAGCAGGACTTGGGGCAGGGAGGAGCACTCTGTTTGTTTCCAAACACTTGGGAGTGTGACACAAGGTGATCCCAGCCCCTTTCCCCTTCCAGCCCACCCCACCTCTGTTTCCCCAATTTCTCCTGGTGATGGATAAACACTCAGGGCTCTGCTGGAACAGGACAACATGCCCAAAGGGTCCAGGTGGGGACATCAGCCAAGCAGGAAAAGCCCTTGTGCTCCTTCTGCCTCTGCTGGGTTTCTGTGGGAGGCTTTGCTGGCCTTTGAGCTTGGTGTTGCTGTCTTTGTTCTCTCCACTACACCCGATTAAGCCTCCAACATAAATATTGGCCATGCCAGGTGCTGGTGGCTACAGAGCAGCATCACACTGTCAGAGCAGCAGGAATTCAGAGCCACAGAACAGAGAGCCCGGCCCTGAGGAGCTCAGGGATGCCCCAGGCAGCTCCTGGGGGGTTTCATCAGCTCTGGGTTTGGACATTGCACTCTCCTCCCTCTAGAAATAACCCTGGGGTTCCCCAGGTTCTTGTCAGAAATGCAGGGGAGGATCAGCAGCTGCTTCCTGAGCAGATTTTAGCTGTAAACCCTTGTGAGCATCCCACCAAGTGGCCTCACTACTGAAGCCAAACCTCTCAGCTAAGTCCTGATTTTGTAATTTCTTTGCAAGTTTAATAAACAAGCACACCTGAAGACAAGGTGACAGCACAGGCAGCAGTGAGTGCATTGTCCCACTCACACAGCCAGGCAAAAATCCAGAGACAGAACCAGGAAAAAAAAACACAGGAAGAAACACAACAAACACAGACTAATGATGAAAAACACTGCTGGGGTGCCAAGCACAACACGGTGTCAATCCACAGGCCCAGGAGACCATGATGTATCTCATGGCCCCTGACCTGCACTGCCTACAGGAGATCCTCTGGGATGTTTTCTCTGGCAGCTGGGGAACAATGTGGGCTCTGTCCCTGGGACTGTGCAGGGGCATTTCAGCAGCGCCCTCAGCCCCGGGGTTAACTCAGCTCAGGCACCTGAAGATTGGCAGCAATGCTTCAGCCACAGGAGCTTCTCCTTCCCTGGATTCTGTGGCACAGGTGGCACCCAGGTGACCCAGCCTGGGCCCTGCAGGCATGGGAAGGAAAGGGATCACCATGAGCAGCTTTGGGAAATGGCTCCTGATTCCCAAAGGGGCTCAGTGGAGACTCCCTGGATCCCTCACCCCAGCAGATCCAGCTGGAAAAGCTCTGCAGGCTGATCTGTGCTGGAGGCAGACAAAGCTCCCAGGGAAGGTGCAGGGATCCCCCTTCTCCTGCCCTCTTGGGTCACCCACCAAGAAGCCCCAAACCAGCTCAATATTCGTCCTTTTTTCACACCAGCCTAACTCCTGCTTTGTAGTTCTTTATGATCACAGCAGAAGGACCCAAGGACAGGGACTGGCACTAAAATGCCTCATCCTGGGCTGGTCAGCCAAGAGCAGAAGCAGCCCTGAAGCCCGGGGACACGAGCTGGGATTGTGCTTTACCCGATATCATCACCCTGGAGGGATCCACCCCCATCCCAGTGCACAGACCAGCCCTGCTTCAGTGCCTCCCCTGCCTCACAAAACAAATGACACACACAATCTGTTTGCAGTTCAGGAATTGCAGCTGATTTTTTCCACAAGCAGTTTCTGATGTCAAATGTTCCGTTTTGGGGTGTCCTGAGTTTCAGGGAACTCTGACTCCAAAAGGAGACACAAAACCAGGCCCTGAGCACCTGGCACTTCTGAAATATTGCTGTAAATGTCACTCTCATTGCTATTGTCATTGTGGATCGATAAAGACACTTTTTGTACAGTTACTCCTGGACACAAACCCTCACCCTACCAGCACATCACACTCTGCACTGAGGCTCCCAGCCTTCCACCCACCAAAAGGAAGATTGCACAGGTAATTTTTATATATTCTCTAATTCCAACAGCCATGACTTTTAAATAAAATAAAATTTAAAAAACCCCACGGTTTTAGAATATTTGGATTTCAAATCCACCAATGGTAGCCATAATACACAAACTTCTGCAACAAAATTTGTTTCTTTTTTACTGCTCTTCAGGTCATGTGGGTTTTTAGCCAGCAATCAGCTATTATGGGTTATCTGTGCTTAGAACAGAGCCCAGCTTTGCTCAAGGTTCTCTGCTTCCCTCAGCACACCCTGCTGCAGTGACACACTGAGGGTGTCACACGTTCCTAAGGAAGGAGTGAGACACCAGGAGCAGAGATTGGAGGTTTCAGCCTCAGAGTTCTGTGCTCAGTGTGGGGACAGTGGGGTCCCCCCAGCCCAGGGATGTGCTGATCCCTCCCTGGCTCGGGCTCTCAGCCCTGCTGAGGGTGGCAGAGGTGGATTTTGTTGCCCAAGAGGCTCCAGGAAGCTGTGCCAGGACAGGACAGGACAGGAGCCCCACATGGAGCAGCTCTCCCTGCCCTGCCCCTGTTCCAGGCTCTGCCAGCAGCTGCACCACAGCCCTGCAGGGCTGCCAGGCACAGCCAGGCTGGGCTCTCCCCCGGGGCTTTTCCCTCTCTCTTCCCATCCTGGAGGGAATTTTCACCTGGCACAGTCTCAGCTGCCCAGGTCTCTCCAAGGTGCACTCTGTGCACGCCCTCATTCAGTGTCCTGTGAGCACAGGGCCAGGAGCAGCAGCTTTTGCTTGGCTGTTTAATATAAAAAACAAGCCCAGCACAACGTGCTTCAAACAATATTTATTCCCAGCAAACCTGATGGACCCCACTGGAGGCACAGCCCCATCAAAGCAGGCACTTGTGCAGAGCTCAGACTGCCAAGGCACAAGGGCAGAGCAGGAGGGGGCAGTGCCAGCCCCAGGTGTGAACACACGGGGACAGGGATGGGGTTTGGATCAGCCTCACCCCCAGGATCAGAGCACAGCCAGAACAGCACTGACACCTCAAGGGACGAGAAATGAACCATGACAGCAGCCTGGAGTGGTCAGGGACACTTCCATTGTAATCCCAGCCCCAGTGTCCAGCCTGGCCTTGGGCACTGCCAGGGATCCAGGGCACAGCTGTGCCAGCCCTGCCCACCCTGCCAGGGAGGAATTCCTTCCCCATTCCCATCAGACCCCAATCTCTTCCATATTTCTTATCCTCCAAGCCTTGGAAACTTGGCTGTGAGCAATGGGATATAATCATATGTTCAATAATGAGTTCCACTAATTAACATTTTTCAGCTGTTGCCTTTTTCCCCCTTGAGCACACTCGATTCCAGGATCCCTGTTCCTGCCAATCACTGATCCCAAGGGCTGGCAGGTGCAATCCAAGTACAAGTGCATTTTTGGATGAACACTTCACACTGATCAACAATTCAAACAAAGCACAGCAGATCCTCCTCAGAGGAACGATCTTTATTCTGCAAATTTCCCTGCAATCATTCCCATGGACCAATCAGCCAAAAATGTGACCCAAAGCATCAAAGCAGAGATACTGTGCAAATGTTGATTCACCTCTGCTTTGAGTCTGGAGTTTATTCAGAGGGCTTTTATTCCTTTGTTGGGAATTGCATAGCAGTGATTTGATTGTTTCTTTAATTTACAAATCTCTTCTTCTCTTTACATAACTTTAAAAAAAAAAAAAAATCCAAGCCAGCCTCCCTTGCTCCAGCACGGTTATCCCTTGTGTGCTTTGCTGCCAGGATTTTTATAAAAGGGCTTTAACTTTTCATTCACCAGGAGCATAACTCAAGTTTTAATAACACACCTTATGCATGACAAAAATTTGCTTCTGGCGATCATGGTTTCGACCACAAAACCACAACTGGGAGTAACTCCTGGTTAACTCCTTCCAGCCCACGCACGGCAGAGTTAGACACAGGTTCAGAGTAGGAGACTATGGAAATCAGCACTTAGAATATTTTAGAATAGGCAAAACATCTCCCCCTCCCAGGCCACGCTGGTCCCTTCCCCGTCCTCTCCGGGAAATCAAAGTCCCAAAGGGAGTGGTGGGATTCTTCTCCCTGGCACTTTGAGCGAGAAAAAATTGGGATATCAGCTCCTAAACATCGGCCACATCTGGGCAGATGTTGCGGGCTCAGCCCGGGGGGTGGAAGGAGCAGCGACACCGCTCCAAGGCTGCTCCCGGTGCCTGCAGAGTTCCACCCTGGTGATTATCCCCAAATTTACAGCTCCTGAGAGCCGAGGGGCTTTAGCAGCCTCTTCTCAGCTTCCCCCCCCCGACACCTTCTCCCCTCACAGCAAACCCAGGGCTGGACGTTTCTCTGTTCCTTCGGTCCCAGGGAATTCCCAGCTCCTTTATCTCCTGCCGGGAGCTCTCGAGCTGCTCCAGGCCCCTTTGTGACCCGAAATCTTCCCCCAAGCCCTGCCCGGGCCGCTCCTCCCGAGGGATTTATTCCCCCCCCTCCCCGCTGAAATAAAGAGGAATTTTCAAAGATCAGATGTGCAGATGTTTCCTCCTAAAGGATCAATGGAGGCAGAATTCTCGCACGGAGCCCGAGCCCCATCGCGGCTGTGCCGGCTCTCACATCCCAGCTGGATGCTCTTCCCTCCTGGGGCAGGCTCAGGGGTTAACAGAGGCAGCAGCCGTGTAATTACCCGGCCCTAATTAGCGATAAATCCATCAATCGCACACTCCGTGCCTTCCGAGAGCCAGGCGCCTGCCCTCGCTCCCAAACCTAAAAAGCACCAGTTCTAAATGACCCCAAAAACTTCCAAAAGCGGAAATTTCCGTCGCAGATCCTCAATCAATCCGAGCAGATTGATCCCAGTATTTACATCAAATAATAATAATAATAATAATAATTACTGCTGCGCCTTTTCAGGGTTCTTAATTAGGAGGAGATTGGCTGACACAGCAGCTCTGGCAGGATTGTAAACACACACAGGCGTGCGGTTTTCTCCCAAAAAACACCTCGGAAACACCAGATCTCTGCACAGATATATCTCATTTCTATTTCTTGATTCAATATTTTCACGCACGAATCCTTCACACATTGCTCTGGACTGGGCTGACATTTAGCACGCATTGGCAGCAGCATCCAGCAGATTTATTCGCTGCTTTATTCCTTCCCCACACCTCGTCACGCCAATCTGACACTTGTTTGCATTTATTTCAGAGGTGCAAAGCACCAGATGTTGTGCTGATACCATCAGCATCCAAAACTCCAAAATATTTCAGAGTTGCCAAAATGAGAAAGGAGATCGATAGGTGTTAAAAGCTTTTTCTTCTTTCAAAGATTCAAGTATTTGATAGGGTCATAGTGTGAATCCATTTACTTAACAAAAAACCTCAAACAAACAAACAACAAAAAAAACCCAAAACCCAAACGCCAAAACAAAAAAAAAAAAAAAAAAAAAAAAAAAAAAAAAAAAAACCAAAGAAAAAAAACCTCCACCCAAATAAACAAGAAAAAGGAAAAAAAAATCATAAAACCACCAAAAAAGACACAACAATCCCCACCCCTAAAAAGTAGAAACAGGTAAATAATTTGGAAGGCATTTTCTCAGGTAAATATATATAAAATTAGACCAGATTCCTGTAGCTCCTGTAAGATTTTGTTGGACAGAGGCAGAGCAGATTCGCCTCTACACTAAAACTCCGTGTGCCACTTTTAGGCTGGGAGTAAAAAAGTGACCGGGATGGTGATTTTAAACAAGTCCCAAAGGAAAAGGAGCGATTCCCAAGAAGGGATTCCCAAGAAGGGATTTTCCCCCCCCAGAGCAGCACCAGCTCAGACAGGGACAGAAAATCAGCAAAACTTTCCCATCCCGTTCTTTACTCCCCTTGCCAACAGCTGGACGGGCAGAGGAGCAACTCGGGAATCTCATCCATCCCCGGCAGCGAGAAAAAAAATATATATAAATAAAAATACAAATCCTTGCACTTACTCGAGTTCATTGGACATTTCTGGCGGTGTCCGGGCGCGGGCAGCTCCGCTCGCAGGCTGCTCACACAGACATTGCCTGCGAGGTGTTTGATTTATGGCAGCAGCTCGCTCAGGTGGGGCGGGATTGGCTGTCGGGACAGGTGCCCTGGGACAGGTACACCCAGACAGGTGCAGTGTAACCCTGTCCCTGCCGGCCGCCAGCAACAGCCCCGGGGCCACGCAGGGTAAAGGGGAGGGATCAGGGATTCTCGGCTCGGGGATAATGAGTTTCAGTTTGGGGGATGAGTTCTGAGGAGGTTTTATAGAGTTTAGATGGAGAGGGGGTTGGTTTGTGTTTTGCTGTTTCTTTATATATAAATATACTGGCAAAATATATGTATTTATAAATGAATTAATTAGGGAAGGAGAAAGTTTCCTCTCATTCCTCCGTGGTAATTGTAGTGATGGGAAAATCCTTTCCTGTCTTTCCTCACTTCCTCTCAGCTGCTCACTCCAGAATCGTGAGGAGATTTTTTATCCCCTTTTAAAAAATGAACCTTAACCCCCCTTAACTTTAGGCACCAAATCATTCCATAAATATCCTGGCTGAGGGAAGCCTTGCACTGCTCAGGGCTGTGGGATAACCTTCCTGTGCCCAGCGTTATTCCAAGGGAAGTTTGGGAATACCAGGCAGGCAACACCTCTGCACACGGGGAAAAGGTTTGTGCAATAGAACAAAACTCATCAGGGATTCAAGCCCTCTTGCTGGATGGTTTCTGTCATCCGTGTTGCAATGAGGAGGCAGAGGATGGGCTCAGCCGTGACTCACAGTGACTGCATTTGGAAGGCAGGAGAGGATTTTGCCAGGCAAGTCGATACAAGCCTTAAAACAAAGGGAAAAAGAAAAGCTTCCACCCCTCGTTCTCACCCCCCATCGTGTCTCACTCCTGCCTGCCCCGCTCAGCTCCTGCCCAGCACAGCCCTGGACATGTCCCAGCTCTGGACATGTCACAGCTCTGGAGGTGTCACAGCTCTGGAGATGTCCCAGCCCTGGAGATGTCCCAGCCCTGGACATGTCACAGCTCTGGACATGTCCCAGCTCTGGAGGTGTCCCAGCTCTGGACATGTCCCAGCTCTGGAGGTGTCACCCAGCTCTGGAGGTGTCACCCAGCTCGGAGTGTGGCTCTCCCTGGGCACACAGGGGCTCCCAGCCCAGCAGGGCAGGCACAGGCACAGGTGAGCACGGATCTTTCATTTGGGTGCCACAGCCCCGAACACCTCGGTGGCTGCTGGCCCAGGACCAGGAGTGACACCAGGACGTGCTGGGCTCCACTCTGCCCTGGGAACCCTCCGTGCCAGGATCCAGGGGCCGGGCAAGGGCTGCTCCTGGGAATGCAAACCAAGGGTCTGGAGCAATGCAAACTCTGCCGGGGAACACCAGGAGCAGGGGACAGCAACAGCCAGAAGTCAGATTGTCCATAAGGAATCATGGAGTGGGTTGGGTTGGAAGGGACCTTAAAGATCATCCAGTCCCACCCCCTGGCACGGGCAGGGCTGTGTCGTGCTCAGCCAAGGAAAGCACTCATCTGTGGCACTGTGGCAGCAGTGATCGATTCTCTGATTGTATCTCCTAATGAATGAAGCCTTGCTCAGCTCACGGTGCCCACAGTGGCAGCTCTGAGTCCTTGTCCTTTTCCCCATGCAGGCAGAGAGGATTTCACTGGCTCTGGTTATTGCAGAGCTGCAACATCCCCTCGGGGCATTTCCGAGTTTCTTCCAACCTTTACAGACTGCAGCACCAAAAGTGAAGGAGGAGAAACCAGAGCCAGAGCAGGCAGGGAAGGACAGGGCTCTGACCTCAGTGGGGAAAAGCCCTGACAAAGAAAGGAGAGAGCAGAGCTGAGCAGGGTTTTGTGGCACTGGAAGGCTCCTGTGCCACCTGTGGCTCTGGCTGAGTTTCCAGGCTCAGCCCTTTGCTGCCTGCCCGCCCAGGACAGGGCACAGGATGGGCACAAACCCCCCAGACCCTTCTGTGTGCTGGCAAAGCCTGGCTGCCACCCCTGGCAGGAGCTCAGGACCAGCCCAGCGTGGCTGTGATGTGTCTCTGGGCACTGCTCCTGCCAGACAGGACCACCCCTGTCCTGCCTCTTCCATCCTCTTGGGCACCTTCTGTGTCTTTTTTGTGATAATGTGAATTTTGTGGCGCCTCAGAGGCCTCCAGGCCTGGACGCCCAGACAATCCCTTTGACTATGATTTCAGTATTTCTAATTATTATTTTCTCTCTTTTTTTTTTTTTTTTTTCATTTATACTCCACCCTCCAAGAGTATCTGGTGAGGGGGTGGGATAGAAGAAAGAGACCAAGAGATACATTCTCTGTGAACAAAACCCTCCCACTTCCCCTCCACTCCCCTGTTAAATATACCCTGGAACAAAAGCCTTTTATGATGCTCTAAAAATAAAGCATGCAGCAGTCAGGACAAACTGCAAAGTTTAAAAGAGAGGGCCAAATTTTGCTCACAGCTACACCCTCTCTAAGGCAACAGGGTTGCTCCTGTGTTTGGCTTGTTAAACCCTCTCTAAACATCCAGGGGCAGACTGGGATTAGCTGCATTTTGTGAGGGACACAGCAGCAGCTCCAGGATGGAGGCAGCATCACCCAGAGGGTGTCCAGAGCCACTGGGGCTGCCCTGGATGTTTAACTCATCCCAGTGTCCCTGACATCCCAAATGTTCCTGGTTTTTTGTGGTGTGACCTCACCTGAGCCGTTCCACACTCCCTGTTCCCAGCCTGGCTTCTCTGCTCTGTAACTTGTAAGGAACTTCAAAGCCAGGGCTCTAATCCCTTTAGGATACACAGCTTTTCCCACTGACAGCTGTCAAACATCCTTTCCAGCTGTCCTGTGATGTGCCAGGAATTGCAGTTGTCTTTGACCAAAGGTTATTAAAACACTTCAGCAATTAATACACAGCAAGAGGAAGCAGCCTGGAGCAGGTTAAAGTGAGATTGGGGCTGCTTCAGGTGCTTTTCCAGCAAAAAACACACCTTGTGCCATTCAAGCCTTTGATATCCAAACCAGATCATCTCTCCCAGTGAGACTCCCTGTGTCTCCCAGAGCCTTTTCCTCCAGGAGGAAGAACACAAAGCTCAACTAAAACTCCCTTGGGCTGCAGGGCTCAGTCTGGCAGCACTGCCCTTCCCTCTGCACAGCACAGCTCCACAATGCCAGGGCAATAATGAGGGAAAGGAAAAGGAGGATTTGGCTTTCTGGAGAAATCAAGAGGGACAAACCCCTCACTGGCCCTTTCCCACCAGATTTCCAGCCTCTATCTGCAGGATTGCTGGGAATCCAGCTGCCTCTGCTGGATCCCAGTACCACTAAACAACGTGACCTGATGCTTAAATGTCTTTTTAATAGAGTCAGGCCAGTTTGTTATTATCTGTTGTAGCCCAGGGGGCTATAGGAAAATTCCTGTTGTCCTTAGCGAGTTCTACCAGTTCTCACCCAGTAACGAGTTTGGGTTGCAAACAACTGACCCAGCTCAGGGACTGCGGGGCAGCAGCTCCAGTTAAACAAACAAACATGACCCCCAGCCCAGCCACCTTCTCCTGCTGCTTCACTTTTCCCTGCACTGTCTGCCCTGAGCTCATGCCGTGCTCTCCCTGGAGCTCACACCTGTCAGTCCAAAGGCAGCAGCAGAGTGGGAAGTGCCCGTCCCAGATGGGTCTGTCAGGGGAGGGAGCAGCTGGAGATGTCACAAGGATCTTCCCCATCCCAGCCCAGTTTGCTTCCTGTGATGTTCAGCTCCAAATATGCACAGGGAAGGAGCCAGGAGAAAGTTTCACTGAAAACTTTTTTGTTTTTTTTTTCCTTTTTAACAGGAATTTCAGCCTGGCTCCGAGGAAACTTTATTTTCTAACCCCAGCACCCAGCAGGGAGCACATACCCAGCTCAGCAGGCTGCCTCACACCTGCAGCTCAAACACAAAAGCACATTTCCTCCTGGAAAAACCCCCAGGAGCTGGGTTCCCCCGCAGTGGTGCCCGTGCCAGGAGCAGGAGTCAGTGCTGGCAGTGATGGCAGCAGCACCAGGAAGGGCTCAGGGCTGGGCTCACACTTCCTCAGTGCTGCCATTCCTCCCCGAGAGAAACTTCTAAACATGAAAACAGTTTTGAAAATGGACCAGATGCAAAACATCAGGGATTGCTCCCAAGCGTTTCCCCCAGTGCTGCAGGCTGATCAAAGCTGCCTCCCCTCAGGAAGTTATCTGATGTCAGGCAGTGAGGCTGCAGCACGGATGAGTTTGGTCTCGGGTACCTCAGTTGACTCCACTCCTCCTTAACCAGCCCTGGCTGAGCAGAGATATGGAAATGGCCCTGGCAGAGTGTCCTGGGCTGCTCAGAATAAATTACCTTTATCAGGAGCCTGGCAGATCCCAGCAGCACAGCTGGGCTCAGCTTCAGGCTCCAGAGTGGATCCAGGGTCTGCTCCCCTCACCCAGCACAGAGATGGGATTTCATTCAGCAAATTCCTGAGTAACAAATGAAAAAAAAGGAAATATGAATAGATATCAGTCCTCCCTGGACTCTAATGAATGTGCTGAGGGAGCCTTGAGAGGCATCTTTACATGACAGCTCAGTTTCTGTCAGTAATTAGAAAAGCTCAGGCCAGAGATATTTATCTGTGAGCAACATCTGGAACTAATAACATCTCAGCCCTGCCAGCCTCCCTGGTTTCATCTCAAATCTGCTGATACTTGCTGTTATTAGTTTATTTAGTTGCCTCTTCAAGCCTGGTTTCCTGTAATCATCCCATCATGTGAAAGTGTTCTCTACACAAAAATCTCCGTCCTTCAGGATCATTGCAAAACACTCCAAACCCCAATTTCTACAGGCTCAGGAATGAGGAGACAGAAAGGAAAATAACTCCCTCACACACCCCACAAGGTGAAGCAATTTTAAAGCCAATCTTCCACCTAGCAAGGACCTGGCTTGTGGTTTTAGAGCAGAACCAGGGCTCAGGACATATTAGTGCTGTGCTGGTCAGTGTTGGACTCATCAAAGCACTGCAAATTTTAATTATTTCTCACTT